TTTCAGAGCTATAGAGCCTCTGAAACGTTTTGTATTGCTGGAGACAAGCTAACAACTGATGGTCACTGTTACAATGAAAACAGTAAAACTGGTTCTGTTCACTGACTGATGGAGGTCATGTAATGTCTGTCTAGCTCTAAAGTAAGTATTGGTGAAAAAAAAACATCCTAGACCTTCATTGCTACCAAGAGAAAGCACCCAGAGGTGCTGCAGAGGGCCCAGTCTTGAGGCTCTGGCAGGCTCACAGACAGGGGGGCTGGAAGGCTGCAGGACAGAGTTCCAGGGTAGAGCCTGACAACCTGGATTAACTATGGATCACATCCATTGTCTGTCCTGGCGTGACTTGACAGGATTAAACTCCTGAATAAAACATTTGCCATCTGGACAGCTCCAACAATGGTGTCCTTAGAACTCGGGCACCTCCTCAAACAGAGCACGGCAGCTCAGGGGTTTGTGGCAGGGCTCATGGCCCAGGAGCCAGGACTGTTCCTCTCCCTGATCCCCGGTCCCCAGGCTGGCAGAATCCATGGCAAGCACAAACCAGCTTACTGACACAAGGCAAATGAGTTTTGGGGATGGATGGCTGAGATGTAAGGGGTATTTCAGCAGGTTTTTAGGCAGAGCCCAGCTGCTGTGCCTTCACCCAGCGTGCCTCAGTTCACTTCAAACACCACAACAGCAACGCTGCAAGACTGCAATCGGATTAAAACCCACCACGAACACAATCTCTCATTTCTGTGAACTCTCACTTATGGTAGGGTAGGGAAGATGGGACAGATGATCCTTTAGCCCCAGAAGATCATCCTTGGGCTGGCAGTAAGGCTTAGGGGATAACACAGAGGGCACAAATTTTGGCAGCAGAAACAGAGGAAAGAAAAGCCCCCCTGCCCTTCCCCCTGTTCCCCTTCGCTGGGGTGTCCCAGCCCTCAGCCCAGCCAGGCCCCACTTCAGTACGAGCTGTCACTGATCCTGTGACGGGTCAGTGATGGCTTGTGGCATCTCTCCACCTCCTCAATTTCAGGGACTGGCTACAGCACCACACACAGAGCACAGGGCACAGAAACACTGTCTGCTGGGCTGTCGTTTCACATCCACATCTCAGCCACACTGCACAATTCAAACTGACAGGCCCTGCTTGGGCAGGGCAGAATTAGTGCTGGGAAATGCACTCCAGATGCTCAGTGGCATTTCTCAGTATGAGCCCACTCCTAATTCAAGGCTTCCTGAGAAAATAAATACCCAAACTGAGGATTTCCCTATGGAAAAATAAAAACCACATTAGATTTTGCCCAGAGACAGACTAAGTTTTCAGGGTCTTCAAAGAGGCTGCAAGGAAACACCCTCCCCACAGCTCCATGTGCAGAATGGGTTGGAAGCTCTGGAGATGGCTCTCTGGGGTAAGGGAGGGCAGGGCTGGAAGCACAACCCTGTGAGTGTGACCCTCCCTTGGAATTTCCTGTTCACAAACACCAGCTTGTCCCACACAGAGCTCTGGGTCTGCCAGCAGAGTTAGGAGGGAACACAGGGAAGCTCCATCTCCTCCACATTCCCAGCATTTCCCCAATCACGAGTCAGTTCTGTAACTCAGCCCTCGGCCTGGTCAGAGGAACCAGTACCTCCCAGGGTTAATGAACGCTGCTGAGGGGTGATTGTTCAGCAAACAAACTTCCTGGAGAAGCTGGAGATTCTACAGTCTATTGCCAAGTCTAAATATACTCAGCTTTTTTAAGCTCTGACTGCACAACAGTTTGATCACATGCGAGTACAACAGTTAAATATTGTAATTTAAGTAGGTGAGGAACATCACAAACTTGGAGAGGATCTGGGACGTGGGGAGGAGGAGGTGAGGGGCCTGAAGCAGTGCTGGGGCTCTGCTGAGCTAGAGCCAAGCTCTGCTGGGCTGGGCTGGCTGTGTGTGGAGCAGGAAGCAGTGGCTTCCCTGCCAAGAGCACATGACAGCAGCAGGGAAGCAGCAGCAGGAAGCATCCCACATTCTGATGGCCTGGGATGGACAGTTTCCAGCCAGCACTAGATGACCCGTGCTGTAACCCCTTCCCTCCCCATCCAGCCTCTCCACATCTCCCTTTCAGCCCTGAGTCCCAGCCAGCACTTCCCTTGCACAGACACATCAGTTAAGTAAAGGGAAGCATCTTTACTTCCCTGCCCTGATCATTCCCACGGCATCTGGAGCACTTTCCCCATCTTTCTTGGGGTATGTTCACACTGGTGTTCAAGAGGAGGCACAGAGGCTCTGGCTGCCTGTGAGAAACCCAGAGAATAACCCAGTTATCAGGCACTGGGATCAAGTGTCAGGCGATTTTAGTATCTGTCGTGGTTTTGCCCAGCCGGCCAGCCCCTCGGGCTAAGAATGGTTTTGTCCAGGTGAATTTCTGGACAAGAAACCAATTAAAACTCTCAGTAAAGCCTTTGCTAATTACATTTTTAAGAAAACGGAAGAGAAGGTGGATTGCGCAGTTGAAATTAGGAGCAGCAGCCATGTAGAAGGGCAGCCCGAGGAGGGCCAGGCCCCCTCCTCCCCCATCACTGGGCCGGGGGCAGGTGTGGCACTGAAGCCCCTCCTTCTCTCTTGTAAGAAAATGAAGAAAAAAAAACTTTAGAGAAGAGCCTGGATGAAAAAAGCTGCAGAAAGAATTCCAGCAAAGAAATAACGGAGTGTCCAAGGTCGAAACTGGCAGCTGCAAGAGAGAGAACAAAGTTCGAAGGAGGGGGGCTGCTTCTCCCCCCTTTCGCTCTCTCCCTTCAGCAGGGTAAAGACTAAAAAATAAATCCCTGCCACCTATGGAAGTTTGTTGGGGTGAGGAGACCCCCGTGCTGCTCATGGAAGAGCCTACAATGAGCCTACACTGAAGTAAGTTAATGCATGAGGAAGCCGAGACTTCATGAGAGACTTGAGATAAGGCAGAGTCCTGTTGGAAATTTTGTGACCCTGAGAGAACCTCACACTGGAGCAAGAACAGCTTGGGTGAGATGTTGGGATCTCAGCAAAAGATCCATGCTGCTGCTGTTGAATATTTATAACCCTGAGGGGGATGAGAACCTCATGATGGAGCAGGAACGACTTGGGTGAGATGTGGGGATCCTAGTAAGGGATCCATGCTAGACCCATGCCGGAGAGGTCTATCAAGGACTGTTCTCCCGTGGAGAGGGACCTCCACAGGGAGACAGGGGTGGACTTATAAGCCATTACCCCCTGTAATCCCGTGGAAGAAAATCCATGGTAGGTAAGTGTCCCCTTGCAAATCCATAGAAGAAAAAACCTTCAGAGCCTGGATAACCCCCCAGCCTCCAGTCTTAGTCCAGGAGGGGGGTAGGCCCAGCCCTGGAGGTTGACACAGAGCAAGAGAGAGATGAAGGAGTTCCAGCTGCGACGAGAGTGCTGCAGAATTATTGAGGAGACCTGGAACTCTGAGAATGGAGAAAAGAACTGCTTTTCCTCCTTAGACTGATATAACGGGGGGGGAGAAGTATTTTTCTGTAAATACATAGCACTTTTACTTAAGTAGAATTGTTGTAGATATAGTTCTTTAGTTTTAACTTGTTAGTAATAAATGTTCATATTATTTTCCCAAATTCAGTCTCTTTTGTCTGCATAAACCTTCTCTCAACTAATAGTAATTGTGTGAAAAGTGTGAGCAAACTGACCCAGGGCAAAACCACAACAATTTTGCCTTGGCCTTTTGAAGTGCAGCCTGGCCTGTCACCCCCATTTACAGCCACTCCTGGAGACCAGGAGTGCAGAGGGGGGGATGTGGTGCTGCTGAACCTGCCCAACTTTAGAGCCAGTGGCCACATCCCCCTGCAGCAGGGCAGCACATACACACACACCGTGTTTGGAAGTAGCCTAGTTGGACCCCACTGGATTTACAACCTGCCAGGAAAGCTTTCCGTGCTGTCACCAAATAAAACACTAACACAACCTGACTGCAGAGACTTGCATGGGGCTCCATACATGCCTCTGAAGTTCCTTTTCTTCCCTCCAAGTGGGAAGCCTTTCCTGTTAGTGCAGCAGGTGCCGGGAGCTGACTGATGCCATCAGCCAGCTTTGGATTGGGATGGATTTGGCAGAAATCAGAATCATCTGCTGGAAGAAAACTAAAGTACTACTACAAAAACGTACTCCAAGATTGAATTCTTTCGGTTCCAGCAGTGAAGACTCACTGCTCTGGGTGCACTGTGTGGTGACAAAGCACTCAGGACCTCGAGGCACAGGAACCAACCCTCCTCAGTGGCCGCCTTTGCTGAGCACAGAGCTCAGTTCCCCATGAGCAATATCCCCAAAGACATCCCAACAAGTTGCCTGCCAGTGTGGCTTACAGTCCACAGCACAGTGCCAGGGAAGAGACAGCTCCATGCATATGGAGACTGCACTTCTGTTTGAATTAGAGGTGGTGAAACTTCTTGAGCACAAATACTGACAATAAATACAAACTAATTCTCTGTTCTCTCACCCAAATCCAGCTGCATCAGTCTTGGTCACACACAAGCTTCTTAAAACATCATTGTTAGCAAAATCAAAACAATCAAATCAAGCCAATCAATCCCAGACCCTTACCCAGAGCCTGGTTATCTGCTGAGAAGGTGGAACAGAGGCTCCACCATCCAGCCACAAGGAACATGCCAGTTTTTAATGTAAGTTTTATAAAGAAACTCCTGAAAATAGTTTGAAAGGAACTGTCCCCCCTCAGTGTCCCATCCCAGACTCTCCCAAACAAGACAATGCAGTGGATGCACATAGCGGGCAAGCAGTTGCCAGCATGCAGCTGGCCCTGCCATCAGCTCCCAGGCCTTCTGGATGAACACATTTCCATGACTTCCACAGCTCTGTGCACCCATCAAAATAAAATGACATTCAGGAACGTGATCAGTCAGCTGCTGACAGTGTTTGACAGCTACTGTTTGATCAAGGCCTTCTCTGGAAGCACAGACACATGAGAACAAAGCAATGACAAAAGTTTACTCCAAGAGAAACCACCTCCCACCTGTGCCAGGGATGCTCCAGTTCCTTTTTTCAGCTCTGAGAAGTTCTCACTGAGCTTTCCTCCCTTGTTACTCGAGTTGCACTTATAGCACATCCACCTCATGAGGCCCTTGGTGACTGTCCCACACTCCTTGCTCAGCAGGCACAGGGAATGGTACAGGTGGCCACAGCTGGAAAGAGAAGGAATCAGTGCTTGGAAGCAGGGCAGCCCCTCCTGAGCTCTGCACTGGGGGTGAAGTGGCTGGGCAGTGGCAGATAGCAGTGTATATACTTCCTTCCTACCCACTCACCCTCCAGAGGCATTTCCAGACTCACCAAAGCATCAGAGGGTACCCATTTGCTGGTACAGCTCCAGGGCAGAACAGGTAACAATGACCCTGCCCCATTTTACAGACACCTGGGCACAGAGGGGAGCAGGGGAGAGGCCAAGCACAAACCCAGCCAGGGCTGTGGTGAATCTGAGGTGAACAAACACTCACAGGAGCCCAGGGTGCTGCAGTGCCCCAGGAGCACTGCTGGGAGAGGGGACACAGGACTGGGAGGCGATTCCTTGCAGAGAGCAGAGCTAGCTGCATGCAAAGCAGGCTCTGGTGGGTTTGATTAGCCAGCCCTTCACAGGGAGACATGCTCACAGGAATACAGATGATTACTTGTGCAAGTCAAACACCAGGAGCTTTTTTTTCCCCCCCTTTAAAACTACTAGTACATCACAGTTATGACCCCAGTCCTTAACTTTACCTGAAAACAATGATTTCATCAGCAGTTTCTTGCCTCCTCTTGTACTGCTGGAGACAGATGCAGCAGTAATCCTGTTTTGGGGTGAGCCCCCTCGTGACAGAGGCTCTCAGGTTACACAGGGACCAGTGGAGATCGTGGTTTAAAAGGTTCGTAGTTGTCTCTAGAAGAGTCTGTGTGGGAGAAAACACAGAGTAACTCTGTCAATCTGTCACCTCCACACTGCACAAACTCCCTGCTGATCAATTCTTCCTAACAAGCAGCTTAGCAGATCACTAAGAGCAAAAACAATCCAATAAAATCCCTTCTTCTATGTTTTCTATTCACTGCCCTCAAAACACTTACCCTTTCAAGGCACGTTAATGGAGGCAATTCCTCTCCACTCTTAACTAGACAAGTTCTGTATTGATTTTTGTCAAAGAGCATTAACAGAGACATGGCAGGCTCATTTTGGCATCTTTCACACCGAACTCACCTTTTCCCCCTCTACCTGGCAGGTTACTGCTTACATCCCCTACTTTAGGAGAAATGTGCTGATAAAAATCAAAGCCCAAATGCACCATGGCAATTAATGCATAAAGAAAATCCTGAAGTGCTCCTCTTGTCCTTCCCAACAGGGATACCCATTTCTGAAGAGCCAAAAGCCAACATCCTGTGTTTTCAGGGGTCAGGTCCCCTCAGCAGCAGCAGGTGCTCTAGTCTGTGACCTGTGGATGCTCCACAGCAGCAGCTCCCAAAAAGGCTGCAGAGGCTGCACCTTGGCTCAGATCTGCACGTGCAGCCTGTCCCAGAGAGCTGTCAGGCACTGACAGAGGGTCTGTGCTGCTCTGACACACCTTCACCAGGACCCCAAACAGAGGTAAAGGCTTTTCATGTCCAGTCTTCTGCAGCAAAGCTATTTCCCACTGCATTTTTACTGGCTACTGGTGCAGAGAGGTCTGACCTGAGCAGGTGAGATGGTAGTGCCACAGGGCAGCAGAATGAGGAGGGTGACTCTGGAGGAAGACTGTGCATTCCTGTTTAGGGGAAAAGGAGCTTTAGAAAGCTACTGAAGTGTGGAGACTGCCTGGGATTTAGGACTGGACAGAGAAAAGCAGGCCTAAGGTTAAGATGAAATCTCACCAGGTCCTAAAGGAAGGGCAGCATTACCACTGGGAAGTGCAAAAGCAGCCTAGTTGAAAAATCTCTTATTTAAAACTGCCAATAAAGACACAGCATATCAGTTTTGTGCCTTTGAGTCCCCAACTGTAGGATGAGCTGGAGAAAAGCAGATGTTTATCCTTCCAGTACATTTAACACAGAACTGAGCTGCAGAGGTGTTCACCATGTACCTGTCAGTGCCTTCACTTGCAATCTGTGAGCAAAATAAACTCATTCCCAGCCCCCAGTCACACAGAAATCACTCACACATCCACTGCCTTTGCCCTGCAGACAGAAATGACAGATGAGGAAGAGCAGCAGGGTCACACAGCCAAAATAATCCTGTTTGCAGCATAGGTAGAACAGAAACACAGCCAACTTACCTGTTCATAGTTAAAGGTGTCCAGCATTCCCAGGACAAGCCCTTGAATTTCTCCAAGTTTCCCTTTTCCATAAACTGGATCCTGAATGAAGAAATGAAAAACTGCAGTTGAATCACAACAGGATATGACTGTTCTGATTCTTCTCAAACAATTTTTTTGCTCCAGACTGGCACCACCAACAGAACCTTTGATTGCAGAGTCAAATATGCTGCATGTGCCCAAGGACAGCAGAACAATCCTACGTAGTGAGGGAAAATTGGTAATTAGCAAAAATCAGTCGATGGCAACATCAGTACTAATTAGCGTGGTTGAGTGAAAAGACTTCAGACCTTGGAAACTCCATTCAGGAGGTGCAGGAGCTGACTGGAGAATGGCATGGGCAGCCAGCTCCTGGGCCCCTGCTCCCCATGCTGGTGCCCACTCAGGAGTAACTCACTCCCAAGCTTATCCCACACCCCCTCAGCTGCAAAAATGCCAAGCAATCCTGATCCCACACCAGATGGCAGAGGGAAGAGGGGCCCAGGGCACTCCTGGTGCTGCAGCAGGGATTTCCACGTGCCCTGAGCAGCTTTATTTCCATGTCCCAGCAGCACAAGCAAAGGGCTGTGGTACAGCTCATCCCCCTGGTGTATCTCACCCTTCCCCAGCCCTGCTCCAGCCCAAACACCTCCTTCTCCTGCACAACCACCCCGGCACCCTCTGGAGCATCACTTGGTGCAGGACAGGAGTGGGATGTGCCAGGGCAACCACAGCCTCCCCAACGAGCAGACAGGCAAAGCACTGGAACCGGGAGGACTTGGGCACTGTCCTTCCCTCCTGCCAGGCCCTGCTGCAGAGCACAAGAGGGCTCCTGCTCACGGGGCACTGGACATGCCAGGAACTGCGCAGGGACAGCTGGTGGTGGCTCCCAGTGTCTTTAACAAAAATGGGAAGCAAGGCAGAGGAGTCAGGTCACTAGCAGGGTCTACTGGCTGCTGCAGGGCTGTGATCCATGTGTGCAGCCCAGTTTGATCCAGGTTCATCCTGTCCCTGTGTCCCAGCCAGTCTGACCTGTGAAGAGCAAGGCCGTGCCCTCCCCATCCCACAGTGGCACCAGCTGGGTCACGAGTGCCTGTAACTGGAACAAACCTATCCAGAAATGCTCAAAAGAGGGTCTGGGAATTCATCCTTTTGGAACACAAACCCTCCACTGGCAGACATTGAGTTGGACCTGGAAAACAGCATTTTGCCCCGCTGAGAGGCACAGAAGGACAGTGGGGGAAGCTGCTGGGAGCTGAGAGAAGCTGTCTGGTGCAACGGGCAGGACATGGGTAAAAATAAGAGACTGGCAAGATGTGGAAAGGAAACTAATCTAGAGAGTGGGAAAATGGTGGGGACACAATGGAAATAGGACATGGAAGGACAAGCTCTGGATGAGATCAACGAGAGAAAGTAGGAGCAAGGATGATTCCATGCTGAGACTGGGAAAGGAAAATCCACAGTGAAAAAGCAAGCTGACAAAGACAGCTGAAGCAGCATGGAAGTTACTCTGCAAAATACTCCGAGGGATCACCAAACCAGCTACAGAAAGCAAGTCAGGGAATTCTTGAACAGCCTTCATGGGAAACATGACAGGCAGAAACACCAACATTCAAGCCTAAATAAAAACAGCATTGAGTCCAAAGCAGCTGTGGATTTGGAGCAGGGGGATGGAGCATGAAGAGTTGTATGTGCTGCAGAGGCTCCTTTTCTGCTGGGGGAACACACAGCCTGAACACTCCAAGGTTCCCTTCCTTGCACCCTTTAACACAGCACAGGGAGTACATTGCACTGAGTCACCCCAGGAATTATGGAGGGGCAGCAGGGACTCAGGACGTCCAGCACAGCAAGTGGTGCGATCCACAGTGCACAGCAAGGTAGGAAGAAAAAGGACTGTGTCCTGTGCAGGGGGAGCACATGGTCTGGCCAAGCCTCACACCAGCCTGGCTGCAGTGAATCCACGGCCATTCCCTGCCGGCAGCGCTTCCTGGGCCTGGCTGCAGCTCTGCCTCCAGCAGGAATCAACCCACAGCCCTCAGTTCACTTCTCCAGCCAGTCTAATGCTTTCTTCCCGTTTGCTGCGTTGATCCCCCACAAAAGTTCCAGTCACCAGAGCCTTGTGGGAGCCATTACTTTTATGGAGGAATATCCTTCATTAATTCCACGCTATAAAATCGGTCTCGGATTGGAATCCACGCTCCAGGCACAAATGTGCCCCCCCCTGCCTTGGAACGGGCATTTACCATGCAGGAACAGGTCACAGCCACTGCTCCCAGGTTGGCATTGCCCTGGGAACATGGCATTGGTATGGGAGGCCAGAGCCAAACTGGTTGCCCAGTGCCACCACCACCAGCAGATCAGGACATGCTGGTCGTATCCAGGTACAGGCCAGGGGTGCTCATGCAGCCCTTTCAGCCAATTCCAGCTGCTTTCCAGGTCCAGGAAAGTTCCAGCCCTTGCTTTGCTACCAGTGTTAATAAACTCTGAAAACACATTCACTTGCAGCTTCTCCCCTCTGCCAGGGGACAGACCAACCACAGTATATAGAATTAATCCCAGGGCTGACCTCCAGGACAGGGAAGGAAAAGCAGTCAGAGAGAGCCCTAACCAGGAATGGGAAAAAATACAAGGAAAGGCATCCTGAAACAGTTTTTAGAGATTCCTTCCTTCCTTCCCCTCTCTGGATTTCCTACAGGCTGCTTTTACATTTTTGGCTTCTCCAGTTCTCCATTTTGTAGGAGGCATCAGCTGCATGTGCTTACAAAACATTCATGAAGGATTACAGCTTTGTAAGGGAATTAACACTCAACCCCAGCCTCTTCAGAGAGCGCTCCCATCCTTAATAACATGAAATTTTTCTTAATGCTCAAGAGGATTCCTCTGCTATCTCTCCTAATGCGGTTAGTTCAGGCTTCCTAGTTAATAAATAACCCCATAACACTATTAAGGATGAGCAAGAACATAAATGTATCAACCATTATTTCTTGGGACTTTGATTGGACGCCTTTGGGTCGATGTGCTGTGACAGGCAGATGTCAGGAGCCCCCTTGTTCCCTGGGAAAGTTGCAGGCCTGCTCACAGCCCCTGCAAGGTGCCCTTTAGCCAAGCATTTTGGTTGCAAAGTTAACATTTGCATAAGGTATAATCTGTAAGCAGTTAAGCCCAGAAGAGGAAGAAAAACAGTCCACTAAAATTGGAATACTCTAATTCCTCTTCAGAAAAAGGCAAGATAATCTACCTCAGTTTACTGATGTCATCCACCTTCCAGCAAATCCCCCAGGGAATTCCTGGGCAGCTGTTCCCCCTCCCAGACTGCAGCTCTGCCACCAAGCCATGAGCTCTGCTGGAACAGCTTTGGAGGGCACTGTCAGACAAGCACCACTTGCAATTCTGGGTTTCACTGAAACATTTGGAGGGCTTGGGAAAGGCTGCCTGCACTCCAGGGCCCAGAGAGGCTGGTATCAGAGTTGCCCCGTGGTCACAGTTAAGGTGGTGCATCAAAACCACGAAGAACAAGGCCCTGTGCACTGCTCAGAGCCGAGGCAGAAGGGTTTGGAATTTTCCACGGCTTCAAAGAGCAATCACACAGCTCTGCAAAGGGAACTCCCAGCCAGAGCTAACAACACAGGGCTCCTGCTGTCTGGGAAAGCCCCAGGCACACATGCCACGTTGGGATTTTGCCCTGCAGGGCACTTTGGTGGCATTCCCAGGGAATCCAAGGAAGCAGATGACAGGGAGGCAAAAAATCCAGTGCTCCCTCCTGCCTAACACAGAGGGAGTTCGTTTCCTGATCCCCACCATGGCAAGGGCTCGGGAGTCCTGAACATTTGATCTGGGCACTCATGACATGGCCATGCAGCCAGATATGCTCGTCACCATTCCCAACACCAGCCTTCCAGTTGAATCAAAGCAATTCTTCCAAGGGCCAAGCTGTGCATCCAAACAAGACCCACAGAAACCCTCCCATAGGCACCTGCTGCAAGCCCTGGAGCAAGAATTTAACACAACACACTATAAACATCCAGTGACCCAGAGCAATGCATCCCAGAATTCCAGAAAGAAGGGTTGGTGTGAGGGCAGTGTGGGGGGAAATGTTCAGTGAAGGGTCTGTCTGGTAACAAAGAACACTGTTCCCAACTAACAAGCCAAGGAGGTGCCAAGCACTGAGGGCAGCAGATGGGTAAGACCCAGTACAGAAGTGGAAGAGCCCATCTCCTAAGGAGGAGGACAAGTTTGGAGAAGTTTAAGTGAGCTTCAGGGCCAAAAATTCACCTTGTAACAGGCAGCAACTGGTAAAGGACATGACTGAGCTGGTGGCATCAGTCAGAGGATGCCCAGTGAGGGGTTCACATCCCCTCTATGGCCACAAACCATCCAGGCCACATCACTCCTTGTCACACACCTGAGGGGTTTGCAAATACATGAGTGTGAGTGGCATCTGTAAAAGAACGAGTGCTAAGAGGCCAAGTCCACTTATCTAGAGATCCTGTAAATCAACACCTCCTCTCCTTCCACAGGCTCTTCTCTTCATCTTTACATTGCTTTCCCTACACCTGTTTCCCAGCTACAAGGGACCAATTACTGCTCCCATCTTAGGAGGTACTGATATAATGCTCTTTACCTGGAATTCAGTCCTTCTCTCTCTGCAAGCATTTCAAGAAGTCATCATTTTTTGCTCTACTTGTACAAAAATATCTGCCTTTCCAAATCTCTCTTTTGTCAGACGATTTGTTGGGTTGACCAGGCAAGTGGAATGAGCAGGAGCAGCAACCCCTGCCTCCAAACCCAGTGACCAGGGTTGCTCTCAGGAATGCCTGACCCATTTCTGTCCCCAGAGAAGTACTTCACCTGCTGAAGCATCCCCTCAGCCTCTGCACAGAGCCAGCACAGCAACCACTTCCCTCCACAGCTGACAAAGACATCTCACTGTTGCCTCCAGGACATCAGTGCCACTCTCTGGAAACGGGATTTTCTATTGCTGCTGGAAGAGTCCATCAGAATCAAAAGAGAATGAAATATTTCAAGCCTGCCAACAAGAATCTCTCTTCATCCCAAGGGGAATGGGATCTTCCCCCACTCTGTAACACCTCCCAGCTGTGTTGTCTGCACAGTGGTCACTGGTTTGACTCTCACCCCATCCTGGCAGTTCTCAGCACAACCCAGAGAAGCCTCCTTGGCAGTTCCCCACTTACAGCTTCTCCATCCTTTCCTGCCTACATGAAACATCAAAGGCCAACAGGAAACTAAATCCAATGTCTCAGCTAAAAGCAGACAAAATAAGTTATTGAAGAGCCATTAGGTTTGCTCGGCACTTTCTACCTTTGATAAAACCACATTCCATTTGATCACACTTTTTATCTGCTCTTTTACAACATCCTTAGCTGTCTTATGATTTGTTCCAAACTCCAAGACTGTGCAGAGTATTGAGATCAAACCAGCAGGTTGCTCGAGGTGTGTTCACCCTGTGAAGCCTGTAAGCTCTCTTCTCCTCTCACCTGGAGCACAAACCCTGAAGAGCGTTTCAACGCTGTCTCATGTTCAATGAGTTCAATGACTGAATTCTACTCTGCAGAGTAGACAATTCTTCTAATTCTTTTTCTGCATTTCTCAAGGTTTGTTGTTAAATCCCAACCTCAGCTTTCACATGTTTTGCAAATTAACACATTAGAGTAGCTCATGACCACTCAGCCCAAGGTCATGAGTGGCCCAGTTTGGTGAAATCGTCCTCTCTGCAGGAACTCACCTGGAGGATTCTCTGCAGGATGGAGGGCAGAGCAATGAACGCAGCCATGTTGTTCAGCACCTGCATTGTCAAACTCTTCAAAGCTGGAATGTCAAACACAACAGCCACCAGCACTTCATTAGGATTCAGGGAGTAGAGAGATCAGTCTTACAGATAAAGAGTTTTATTTCAGGTCACATGTTCTAGTTTGAAAACAACTTTTCTATTTCTCCTTCTGCGGGTTTTGCACTAAGCACACATGGCCTTTTGTAGCACAAGGCTTTGATACCACGATGCCTCTGATTTCTCTCCCACACCCCCACAGTGAACATTCCCATTTTGACTTACCTTGTAGCACTGTCATTCACTTTTCCTACTGCTATCCCAAGCCAGTTTGGATGCCTTGTCCACGTTATGGCCCCACAGACTCTAAAACTTCCTAGCAGTGACCTCTGAAACTTGTTTCCAGATGCCCAATTCCCTAAATAAGAGCCAATATTGACATATGCATGGACTCAGCAGTTCAGCTTCTTTGGGGGATAATTAGCAGGTGCAGGGGGAAGTGCCCAAAAGGGCTGGGCATGAAAAATGAGAGTACTGTGTCAGGAGTTCCCAAAGCACTGACTACAACCTCCTTCCAACCCACAAAGCCTTCGTGCACACTCAGCTCCTTTAGAGACCATCCTCAATGGAACCAACTTACTAGCACAGCCTATGGCAGAGACCTTCCTCCACTCAAGACAAAATAAAAAATAAATTAAAAATACCATCTCCCTGACCAAACACCCAGCCTGAGGTCAGTCCTACAGTCCCTGCAGGTCAGGGAGCAGAATATTTAGGAATGGAATACCAAAACTGCTTTTCTTTTGTTCTTTAAGCAGAGGAGAGACAGCACACCACTTGTGATTCACATTTGGGGTTACAAGACCAAAATACTCACATTCAGAGTATCGACACTGTGAAGAACCAGAGGATTTCTGTGGGGACATCATGGCCTCCAGCAGGGGAAACCACAGGGCCTGAAATCATGGAATGCAAGGGAAAAACCCAGTAAGAACAGGGCAGTGCTAAACATGAGCTCTGAGCAATGTCAGAGGCCCTTTGCAAAGACTCTTCCATACTGTGAGAACTGCATTTCTCCTGACTGCAGTAGGACAGCACTGAAACATGTTAAAGCACCCTCAGAGCAAAGCACCTGGGGATCTGCTTTCAGTCTCCATTGCTCATCTCAGACCCAGATCCTCTTTGATCAGGGTCTGAGCACAGGCCTTCGGCTCCTTCTCTCCATTCTCACCTGTTTCTTTACTGGGATTGGCACAACAACCTCCTTCTACTTCATCCAGCCACTTCTCCCTGTGAGACACAAACTCTCTGGTGTAGAGACAGCTCACAGAGTGAGTAGCACAGTAAATGGATCCCAGATGGAAAGGGACATCTAAACTCTCTCCCCATTTGTTGCACAACATCCTTTGTCCTCTGGAGAAGACACCGGGCAGGTCCCCTCTACCCTGGACAGTGCTTGTGAAGAGATTACACAACTCCTGACTTCCAGCCCTGCCACCTCCCCAGACATGGGAACAAACCATTCTCAGTTCTGAGTTCAGATATGTAAATCATGCAGAATCTCAGGAAGAAAGGTGCCCTGGCAAAATGGGAATGCAGCCCCAGCCCCAGGAGACAGGCACACCCAGCTCTCTACAGGAGCTCAAGCCAGCTGGGTTGCCTCCACCCTCCCAGACCAGGCTGGCACTACACTGGGGGGTTGTGAACATGCTCTGCAGCCACAGTGACAGCACCATCAGCTCTGTGCTACCAGGAAGTTGGCTCGAAGCTCACAATGCCTCCTGCACCGTCTGATTGACATTCAAGCCAAAACTTCGACTGGATCTAAAACGGGACAGGATGTTGGCTCATCTGCTGCCTCCCTGATGACATTTTGTGTTTCATCCTTAGGAGGGAGGATTTCTCTCTTGTGGGTCTAAAATCTGAACCACTGTAGGGAGAACACAGGGAGGAGAGAGCCTGAGGCACACCAGTATCCAGTGGATGTGGAAAGGAAGGGGAACAGAAGGGAGTGTTTCAGGAAACACACAGGGTTCTGCTGATTTTAGTGACACATTCTTTGATTCCCTTACCTCTCTCTGTTGCTGGTCTAAACTGTGTGAATTCCTCTGGCAAAGGGCAATTGTTTTCATTAAGGTATCTTCAATTTTTTCTAGCAAGGAGGGTTCAGTTTGGCCTAAGAGTTGGTGGAAAAAAAACAAACTGCAATTATAAAAAACTATGAGATATGTAAACTCCCAATCCTTCTGCAAAATGAAATCATGCTGTTCATCTAAAGTCTGCTCACTATAGTCAGCAACCAAATTATTATAAAGACAAGTCCTGATTTTTGGCACTTTTCCTGAATAGCACAATAAATTGGGCAAATAAAACATTTCACATAATCAAATAAGGAAGATCTTAGCTATGGTTTAGGACACAATTAAGTAACAACTATGAGCACTGCACTTAATTAGGTGCCCGTGAGTCCTTGGGCTAGTGAACAGCACATCTGTGCATATACTCATTTTCTGTAGGGAGAATATTCGTATTTATCTGAGAAATTTGCTTCAGAAAAAAAAAGCTACTTCCAGCTGTGTCTCATCACTATTCACATGTAATGCCAGCTAAGGCTCAGCAATGAGCTGGAATGGATTCTGGCACAGGAAATGTGTCTGGTAAGGCAGTGAGAGCACCAGTCACAATGGAAAAAGCTGACAGGGCACCTGCTCTAGGTCTCCAGCAAGAGTATCAGTGAGGAAGTGTCACTCAAACAACTACCACAGCCAGGTAAATATCAATAAAAAAGAAGTCACTGCAATACCCAGAAACTTGAAACAGGATCTCATTATGCCAGGTGTCAGGCACAAGCACTTTCCATTTTTGTGTTTATCTATCTAATAGAAAATGAGATTTCACTTGATGACTCTTACTTTCATCCTCTTGAGTGAGCATCAGCAACTCTCTCTGCAATCGCTGAAACACAAGAGAGGACACAGAACAGTAAACCTGATAGTTCACGCCCAAGAATCCTCACAGAACTGTTTGGAAAATGTGGGATGCAAAGGCTCCCCCCATTTTCCTCCCCAGTATGACTAATGTACCATAAATGTCTTTTCAAATACGGAAGGGAAAGCAGAAAAACAAATTTCAGCACCTATTATCTACTGGATGTTTGAAGACTTGCCAGAAAAATACACTGATATGCTGAGCCCACAGACAACTCAACATATTGCTATTTGACAGCAGGGAAATGCTTCCATGGATTCTAATGGGAAACAAAACGAGGAGCAAGGACAACATCAAACCTGAGCACAGCCCCTGCTGATGGCAGGGCATGGCAAAAGTGCCACGTTCAGGGTTTCAGTACCTCAAGCATAACCAAAAAGGCACCGTGGATATCTCCTTTCTTCTCCAGTAAATACGAAGAAGCTTCATGGAGCTGATGTTTCTGGGTTATCTGAGTTGAAAGGAGGAAAAGAAAGGTAAATGTAAAAAAAAAATCTTAAGAAGCCTGCCAGGCTTTGTTTACCCCACGAGACAAGGAGGGCCAGATGGCCAGGCCTGTGTGCTGTGCTCAGGTTACCCAGGCTGAGCTGCACTCCTACAGCCCCTCATTTCTCAACTATTGCCACCACCAGCATTAAAAAATTACTGCTAGCGTTGTCATCAAGGGAAGGAACAGTTGCTCTCCCAGCACTAGTCACATTTTGGCAGCGTTGTTTCCCAAAAACCCCAGGCTCACGACTTCATACACCTCCACCACGATTATTCAGCAGTAACACAGCCACCCTCCCCTCTGCAGTTTCTCAGCAGCTTCAGAGCACTAATAGCCTCTTTCTTATTAACCCTGAGACCAAACCCAGAGTCAGTGTATTAAACAGATCTAACTGTGCTGCACGAGAGCAGAGGGAACAGAGAGTGGGAGAAATGGATTGGGAGACCATCCAGGAACTAATCCAAGTACCTTTACAGCACTTCAAAGAGGCAGGAGCTGATTTGAATGCATCTCCTGGCCCCTGGCCTCGTACATGTCTTTCCTACCTGGATGGTTTCTTCCAGTCTGCAATATTCCAGAACTCTGAGTGTCTCCAGGACCTGGTCTGGGCTGAACTGGCACAGCAGCTCAATGAACTGCTCAGTGATGGAGGGTGGTAAATGTATCAGTTCTTGGTTAATGCCTTCTCTGCAATAAAACAGGCACAAGAGACTCAAGTCAAACTCTAGCCCAGAAAGTTGGCTGGAAAGAAGAGTTTCTTAATCCATTGTGTGTCGTCTTTCACCCCTAGTACAGAACTTTAAAAAATCTGGTTTTAAGAGGAAAATTATGCTGTTTCTACTAGTTCCTGGTGCTGGGGGTCTCTCAGCAGGCATTTCATCCACAACATATTATCCTGATGCCTTACTATAAACCAGACTATCAAAGACCCCTGTGAAGACAGAGACCAGCACAGACACATCCTCAGCAGTTCCATGGTAAAGAGGCACAAAGAACTTTCTTCAATGAAACCTTATGGTTTGAGTTGTCTTTTCAGATCCTGATTATCTGTGTGTGCTACAGACCTGCTCTGCATGTGTTTGAAGAAACAGTTTGTTGCTTTTTGCTAATGTTCCTGAAATTCTTCGACTTCTTTATCAAATATTAGTGTTAGATCCGTTTGATTCACCTCACTGAGACAGGAACTCAGGCCTCTTTTAGGGAAATGTCCCCATTTTCTAATCCCTGGGCTTCTTATTAAAGAAACACCCAAAGTGGGGGGGGGGGAGGGAAGGAGAGAAGAGAACTGTAAGCAGTGCCCATGTCCCTTTGTTCTGACTGTTTTCTACTGACCTTGTTTTTAAAAAGAGTAACACAAAGCAAGAGATCTCAGAGTGAGGACTGGAAGGATGATGCTCTCCTAGAGTCAGACACAGCACCTGCAACCCTCACATGAGCAGCAGCTCACTGCCACTGCACATCACACTTCCCTTGGCCCTTCTGGGACTGGTGAACCACACAGAGAAACAGCAGGAGTTTACTCTGCCTAGGAAACAGGGTTTTAAGCTCTGCTGAAGCTCCTGTTAGGAAAGAAAATGGATTAAGGTACGTATTTAATTTTGTTACCTATCCAAACAGAAATTCCTAATCAGGGAAGATGTGTTGATGTACAAACCCTACAGTCATGTGATGGAAAAGGTCTGATGTTCAATGTGATCCTGTATTTCCTGGGAGTTACAACAGGAATATTTTCATCCAGGAAAGGCCAGGAGAGTGCTGTGCCCTCAGCAAGCCAACAGCAGCTTACTGTGATTCCAGTGTCAGTCACTGGATTGGAAGTGATGTGTGCCCAGAAACAAAAGCCTCACCCAGGTGCTGAGCAGTGTCCATAATATGGACAAAAACTGGTGTCCAAACTGCTGTGTTCTGACATCAGACAATGGAGCCTGGAATGGCCAAACAAGAACCCTGAATTCTGGCCTTCTGCATTCACCACCCGCTCCTCCCACCACAACCCCCCTGTGAACTCCCCTGGTGCCAGGGAGAGAGGCAGTGCTCTGCTCTTCCTGTGAGTAGACTCAAATAAAGCCCTTTTGATCTAAAATCATCTCTTGTCTACCAAAATAGGAAAAATGGCAAGTCATACATTTACAGTACGAGAACAAACTTCTACTCTGGAAATAACTCTGGCACTCAGTATTCATGATTCTGTGAGCAAGCTGACCTTTCCTTAACCACTTCATCAAGAAAGGCAGAGAACAGAGAATGGAAAGAAAGCAGGATTTTGATAATGACTAAAACTAACCACCACTCCTGAGCCTTGCAGGTCCTGCTCAGCTCCATGAGGTGATGTCCATCTCCAATACAACCATCCAAACATCTCCCCCTGCCCGTGTAACAGAACTAGAAGTTGAGGTATCTGTCAATGTATCTATAAACCCAGAAGACTGTGTTGATAAATAAGTTCATATTGTTGGTATAACACACAAACATGCTTCACTGTGTTTGGGCTTTTTTAGAGAAAAACCCAAGAGTTTAAAATGGAAATGTAGCAAAGGCTCTGGTTAATGAGCTGAGCAATCCCCACAACATTCTCTATTTCCTGGGGCTGCTTTATGCTACAAACACATAGACATTTGGTTTTAATTTCCCCAGGCAATTCCTGTTAACCCTGTTTCCTCCCTGCCCCCCTTTCCACCTCCTCTAAAATAAATCTCTAGCTAAATTAAATGGGCCAAATTAATCCCTAATGCAATTCCACCAACTAGGATACTTAGATCAGCACGATGAGTTGTGTCCCCATATGATAAAAGCAATCATTTGTATTTGAGACCTTAAAAAGCTCATTTGCTGCTCTAAGGGTCTTTATTTTAATAAGAATTTTGCTCAAAGAAAAGCATATAAACATTTAGATTGACTGAAAAGAGACAGATGTTTTCAGTAGAACCTAATCACTGTGGAATGTATGAATATACTACAAGGTGTAGGTGTTTCTGCAGAGAATGATTTTCCCTCTTTCCCTGCCTCCCTCAGGATCCAGTTCAGCTTCTTCCAATAGGTCTTAGAGGAATCAAACAACCTCCCAGCACTGAGAACAGACCTGGGATGATCTGTTAGTAAAAACGATGATTTACTAACACTGGGATGAGTGTTAGGAAAATAAGGCCACATGGACCAAGGCACCTCATGGACTGTCAGCCCTGGGGGAACAGCAGGGATCCGTGGGAAGATGAGAGGCAGGAAGTTGCTTCCCATTGCTGGTTTGAACATATCACATATTGCTAGTGATTACAAGGTAAGTACAGCAGAAATGGGGCTATTTAGCTCTAATTATGGCAGAGTGAAATTAGATATGTTTATTACTCAGAGATTACGGAGGCACTCTGTGCATAAGATTAAAATCCAGGTTAATTACTACCTTCACTGGTTCCCGCTTGCTGCAAGTGATAGCACAGCATAAACAAAGTCCTACTTAACTTCCAGCTGGGTTTCATTTCTCCTTAACTTCCTTTTTTATTTAATTAATCATTTATTAACTATGTCACTTAATTTCTTTCCTGTAAAACCCAACCACGACATTTTCTTGGCAGAATTCTGGTTTTGTTTTGACTTCTCAGGTACACAGGAGGCATGGAAATAAACACCTTCCACACAAACATGGCTGGAAAACTCAGGGAATAACAAAACATGTCTTTGGGTCTGGGTGTTGTGTGCTGGGGTTTTTTTGCATTTACATCTAACAAAATCCAGAAAGTGATTGATTAATTCCAGGGTTTAGCTTCCAAAGAATGCTTTGTGTTACACTTCAAGAACCAAAATATTAATGCTTGGATTTGGATAATATTACCTCTTCCTCCTCCTCCTAAGGCACAATTAATTTGTAAATAATTGACAAAACAGGATCCCTCCTTCAACTGCATTAACAATAGCTGGAAAGCAACTGGAGCTGTGCATACATAAATGTCTTACAAAATAAATAAATAAAATCAAGGTCTTGTAGCATTTAAAACTGATTCAACAGAAAGAACAGTCAGTGCTGAAGAACTGAGAGAACAGAGTAGATGGAGCAAGCAAGTAGGTAAGAGAGGAGCTTGCAGGGAAATATGGCAGCAGTTCTGAAACAAGACAAATTAAAGATGTCAACAGAACAAAATGCTTTTCTATTTGAGTTAAACTTGGGCACCTCGCTCAAGTCACCGATCAGAGGGTTTCTGAGAAGGGAAATGGCAGTTTCAGCCCCAGGGTCCCCATCCCACAGCCATTCCCAGCCCCCCAGCATACCCTGGAAGCACAGCACTCCCCAGGCAGGCAGCTGAGGGGCTCTGCTGGAGGACACTCCCCAGAACACTTCAGTCAGGGCTGTTCTGCTCAGCTTGGGGCAGTTTGAGCACCTTTCTTAAACCTAATCTTGCCTCTAGGCTGACTATTGATGCAGTGTTTCAGTGGAATTGGTTTTAATCCATGTTTTCAAGCTGTAATTTGTAAACAGGCCCAATTCCTACATACCTTGGATCGAGGAGACTCCTCAGGAACTGGAAGAGCAAGAACTGGTCCTGTACAACAGGAGGAGAGTGTTGTTATTTTAAATACTGTGCCATAAAGCAGTGATTCCTGAACTATATCCATTACAGAAAACACAGTTCCCAGGTGGTACCTGCTGAAGAGGCTGGTTTAGGCATGTCCTGCATAAATATTCTGAGGGTATGTTTGCTGACAGTAACTCTGTGACTGCAAGCCACACTGAGCTCCAACTAAAAGCTGCAACCAGCAGCTCTGAGATGGTACATTTTTAGGGCCAGAACTCTACAAACAGGCCAAATCATTTAAATGTAGCAGTTCCTGCCGCTCAGGAGCCACCACTTATTTTTCTTCTGTTTCTGATGCAGCAGCAACCAACTTACCACTAATCTCAACAACCCCTTCCTACAAGAAGGGCAAGAACAGAAGCCCCAAATCCATGGAGTTGGACACTTCACCTGGAGGGTGGAGATGATGCTCTCAATCTTCTCACTGAAGTGGATGGCTGCCAGCTCAGCTGCCTTCCCTGGGCTCAGCACCAGCAGCTCCTTTGGGAGGGAGGCAAAACAAAAACAAAACTGCTTTTCATTCCACAAGCTATACCATCATGCAGTGTCAGCAAGCTGTGATTGCACCTCTGCCCAGATGAAGTGTAAAATAAACCACCATCACACAAAGAGTGAAGCTGGAAAAAACAGAAGGAAGGGTAGTTTGTAAGAGTGGCATTTTTGGAAGCTGATGATTTTAATACCCAAAAAGCCTTGGAGAACACAAAACTTCACACCAACGAGACCCCAAGTCAGTCCCTAAGGAGAGGAAGTCATGCACCAGGTTTTCTGACAACTGCCTTTCCCCCCTACCAAAGGACATTCCCAGAGCCAGCAGGAGAGAGGGAACAAAGCCCTCACCTGGCCCTCGGGAATTTCTCAGTCCAATGGCAACAGGGTTTAACAGGCTTGAACCCAGAGCTTTAAAAGTAAGTTTCCTATAAACTGTGACTGATACCTGCCCAGACGCGAAAAAACACAAAGTAGTTTCTTTACTGCAATAGAAGGAAAAAAATAAATCTTTTAAATGCCTGTGGCTTTGCCTTCTGTCAAACTTGACCTAAAAGGCTTCCTACCATACAAGTTTACAGAACCCAGAATGTGAGCTTTTTGCTTCTAACCCTTCCAGATGCAGCCACACTTCCAAATAACTGAGAAACAACTGCCTCAAACCAATACTGTACACCCGGTAACCCTTCCCAAAGACCCCTGCTGAACCTAAAAAGGAGAAAATGTTGCTTTACTGAACAAAAACAACTGTTTTATAAAGTAAAAAAAGAAAAATTTCGGAAACATGCATGTGGGAAAAAAACTAGCTGAAGAAGTTCCTTAGCATCAACTTGCCTGAGGAGAGAAAAGGACCACTACTGTGACTGAAGAGAAGCCTTAGGGTTTATTTTCAAGATAAATCTCAAGGGGTTACGGCTGTTTTGGATGATGGGGAAAGTAAGAGTGGCACTGACCACAAATCCCACTTTCCTGACTTATCTCCAGATCACCCTAGAGGGCACTGACACCACCCAGAACTACAACTATAATGGATTCCCTGAGGGGACATCTACTGAGGGGACAATTATTTCAGGCACATCTCCATCCCCTGGAGCAGACAGAGACTGAAGACATGGGGAAAATGATGAGCTGGAGAAGTCTGGAAGCAGTCTGTGTCTCAGAGAGAAGCCATGACCCCGTCTCCCCACAGGTCAGACGTGGCAGGTGCCAAGGCTGAATGCTGTTGTCACTGTAAGGAGGAACTGGACACCACAGACTGTGAGGTCAGAGACAGCCATGCCCTGACCCTGCTGCTGCTGGAGGTAAATGCCTTGCTAATGGATCCCTTCCCTGCTGCACAGCACTCAGGAGTCATCACCCGCAATTAAGGCTCCATTATCCAAAGAGCAGCAGGAAACCAAGGAAGCCAGCCTGAATCCAAGGGATGCACTTACATGAGAGCACTAAAGCTTGGGGCAGAGCTGTCTCCACAGCTGTGACTCAACACTGGGACACTTGTGCTCATGGAAAAGCACCCAGCAGGATCCCAGAGCCATTAGCAGGAGCTGGGGGCCCCTGGGTGCAGGATGTGCTGTACCTACCTCTATGTGGTCCAGAGCTTTCTGCCACACCGACTGCTTTTCCTCAGCACTGTAGCCAGGCATGGACAGGATGTTGTGAATGTAGTTGAAAACTTCTTCCTGCAAGGCACAAACCCATAAATGCTGCAGTGTGTTCTGCAGCACTGCTGACAGCACTGGGCTTGGGTAAGGGAGAACCTTTCAACAGCCTTGGGAGGGCCCCAGGGTAGCCCTCCCTCAGCAAGTCAGGATGAGTTATCAGCAGGAGAGGTTCTATGTCCCTAAATAGCTCTTAAAGAACTGCCAGGGAAAAAGAGCCAAGAGGAACCCCATGCTAATGTGTTAAGCACTGAGGTCAAAGAGAATTGTTCTTCCACTATTAGAAATGTCCCACTCTTGCTCACAGGGAAAGAGGACAGGACATCACACTCTAGCCAGGAGCATAGGCAGAGAAAAGAACACCCTGCCAGAGGGTAGGTCAGTTTTCCCAGCACATTCCTGAATCCCTCTTTGACATCAGCCTCTCCCCCAGGCTCTCCTGCACTGCCCTCAGCTCAGATGCTCTCCTGTACTGTGGTTTCTGACCATCTCAACAGTCACAACCCTCTGTTCCAACTCCTTCACCCACACAACGTTCAGCATTGTGGTTTTGTAAGGAGCTGGTGAGCTCACATTTGCCAGACTCTCACCCCAACTTCTCTTGGTGGTAGGGAAGAGAATACCTCAGAAAACTGTGGCAGATATGCAGCTCAAGCACCAGCAGAAGGTAACTGTGAAGAGACAGTAAGGGCAGAGAGATGTGGGCAGGGGATAAAAGAGTGGACCGGGAGCGGAAGCCAAGTAGCACTGAGTTAGAAACATCTGCAAGAAATGCCACCTTGCACTCAGGGTTTATGTCCTGGCATTGATTAACTTATAACCTGAAGGAAAACTCTGAGGCTTAAAAAAAGAATAAAAATCAACTCCTCTCCAATACACAAACACAAAAAGCTTTGACTATAACTAAGAAAGCTCAACTGTAAAGAACATTTTGAAGTTAATTATGACAGCAGAACAGGGCAGTTGTGCCCATCGCTCTGGCTGGCAGGACAGGCTGCATGGCCAGGGAGAAGGGCCAGGAGCACCAGATTTCCTCACCTTTCTCATGGGGTCCCGCAGGTAACAGCCGATGATTCTGTCGTAGCGAAACTGCCGCTCGTACATGAACTCACAGATCTGGAAGCTGAAAGGAAAACACTTCCCATGTTAGGAAACCCCCACTCAGCTGAGCCAGCAGAACAGGAGGCAGCACTGGGAAGCATCTTCCATGGAGGTGTTCAGCACACAGGCTTGGTGGCTCCTGTTTACAGATGCCACTTGGTATCAGCCCCAGGACAACTGGCCTTTATTCAGAAAATTATCACAGAACACAGAAAACTGGAGTTACTGAGGTGAGAGACAAGGGACAGAGGACAAAAATCCTCAATGAAATCAGGTTTCACAGGTTCTGTTGTCAGAGATGACCTCCCTTATTCCTACAGCACTCTGCTCTGAGGTAGGCCAATCCACAGAACTCATGTGAAGAAACTCGCTGAACGTGACTCAACAGTGTGTCAGAACACAGCTTCCTACCTTCAGATTTTAACAAACATCTTCATTATTTTAATGAGAAGTTTGATAAATAATATTACACCATAGCTCTTTTAGTTCTCATGGAAGTGGCTGAGCTGGGGGGCCTGGCTGTCAAATTCTCCAAAGCAAGCACAAAAACAAAAAAATTGGATGGAGTCACTCCTTTTAGGACACAGGCATGGCAGCCCCCACCACTGCACTGGTCCGCTGTAGCACAGTGGATTCATTCATGTAACACCCAAACACACAACGTGGCTGAAGGTGCCCTCCCTGGCTGGCTCTGTTCAGGCATGACAGGCTTTTTCTGGAATCATAAAGCATCTAAAGGAGATGCTGGAAATTTTTAGCCTTTCCAGACACTGTTTTTGTCCCTCCTACTCATTTCTAAAACAAGTACCACGGGGGTGTATCCAGACCCCATCGTGCTTTTAAATCCACCTGTGGGTCTCATCCCAACGAGTCAGCTCCATCTGCGAGTGGCAGAGCACTCCAATATCCCACTATACCCCTGAGCAAAGCCCGGGCTCCAGGACAGGGAATGTCAAAACTCATCAACTCCCACAGGGCTTCTCCTGAAGGGTTTCCACAGCTCCACCCTCTCCTTTCTCAACAATGCTTTCTGTAAGAACACTCAGGGACAGACAGACACACTGGGGCTAAACGTGACTGTCTCAAATGAAGCACGTGAATGTGAATGCACAGGGAAAATCATCCCAAACACAGTTGCACAGAGGGAACGAGAAATGTGGAGGGAAAAAAAAGCTGTGGAGGAGATTTAAAGAGAGTATTTAAATAATCACACACAAGATCTAAAGGCAGCATTTACATAATGTGTACAGGAACTTACAATTCAGCTTTCTCTGCCATTTGGATAAGACGGCTCTCTTCAAACTGCACTATCCCTCCTGCCTGGAGCAGCTCCAGCAGGACCTGCAGAGATTGGACACCAGTTATTTATAGGGCAGCAGCAGCTGGACAGCCAGTGCCATTACACTCTGCTCCTGCTCTTGGTATTAAAGCAGGGCTTATCTTCCTGATTCTTAAATTGATTGTCCATTAAATATGAAGGCCACGTGCTTATCAAGAACTTCCCTGCCTCTGTTCCTGCTGCTGCCAGGGCTCTCCTGCAGGAATGCTGGGGCAGGACCCTTCCCTCCTGCACCGTCCAGTTCTTCCTCTGCTCCCCAAGGCCAAATGCTGCTCCCCAGCCCGGCCTCCCCTGGTGCTCCAGGTACCATTCCCCCGAAGGTCATTACCTGCTGCCTCTCGGAATGGCGGGAGTCGTCATCCGGACTGCACAGGAACTCCAGGACCTGCACAGGGGCACGAGGTGGGGTCAGTCAGGCCTGGACAGCCCAGCTGGGAGCACAGAGCTCAGGGTAGATCCTGAGCATCAGCACAGGCAACAGCAACACGGCACAACGGGACAATCTGAGTGTACTCCCTACCTGGTCTTGTGCCTAAACTGGGAATACTGGAGTAAGCAAGGACTGCTGAAGGACTCCAGGGGGAAACACACGACTCTGCACCAGGATCTAGAACCAAACTTTGGGGAACTCGGGGAACCCCATGGTCCTGCCTTGAACTACACACCAAACAGCTGCAACCACCACACTGACCCTCTTGATTCCTCTCCTAGACTGTGCCATCTCACCCAGAAAAACAGGAAATCATGCAATTCATAGCATTTAATATATCTGGAATTAAAGTGTTTAATCCAAAGCCACTTAGCCTCCACAGAGTTCTTTGGTCTTTAATTACAACAAAGGACACATATTTTGTAATTTGTTTTTCATTAGTGTCTGTATATCCATGCAATCATAACACAGTTGCTGTAGCCAACGAAGCCTCCTCCCCAGTCCCAGGAATTTCTGGGACTTCAGCTAGGATATAAACTTAACCCATGCAAGCTTCAGGCATCCATTGGTGCATCTCAGGCTATTCTCAACAGTAGAGAAGGGTAGTGGCTACACAAACTAAAAACTACCAGCTACACAAACATGCTCTATGACCTCACTCATGTCATTTTAGTTGGCACCCCTTACAGAACCCCAGGATGGTTTGGGTTGGAAGGGACCTTAAAAGACCATCTTGTCCCTGCCCACTGCAGGGGATTGGAATACCTTCCCCGAGGCCAGGTTGTTCCAAGCCCCATCCAACCTGGCCTTGGACACTTCCTAGGACCCGACCCTGTTTCTCCCACAGTGACAGCCAAACGGAAACACAGAGCATACTGCTTGGAATTTCACACACACACAGAGGATACTTGCCTGGTCAAAAAGTGTCCTGTTGACAAACAAGGTGTTGTTGGGCTTGGCGAGCTGACGGGCCAGGAATGTGAAGAGACAGCCAACCTGTGACGGGGTGAAGTCAGAGTTCTCCACCATCACCTGAGGAGCAGTGGAGAGAACAGGCAAAAATAAATCCCCAAATGGTTGATTCTGCAGCTGCCTTTGGCACAGCCATGAGGATGCTGCAACAAGAAATCCTTGTACAGCCACCGTGTCTCCTCCTAGCCCAGACATCCACACCACCTCCTGGTGTGAGTCCTTCCTGAAGGTGAAAACGTGTCACCTTCCAGGGCATTTAGCTGTGCCACCTGAAGACACAGACAGTGTATGTGCCCTTGCTGAAGCACCTCTGCCCTGAAGTTGAAGAGACTCCACCTCTGCCATAAACTCAAGGGAAGAATTCTTGCATGTTCCCGGGTTTTGGGTGTGAAGGGGCTCCAAACCCACATTTATCCCCATCCCTGCAGCCTGTGCTGATCTCTGGACATGTAACAGAGCTTCTGAACAGAGAAATGTTGTCACATGAGTTAAAATATAATTATTACAGGAGAAAAAAAGATACATTTCACTTCAAGCCCCAGGCACTCACCACACTTCAGTTGTGGTGGACAGAGAAGTGCTCTAATAGCTAAGAAATGGCTGCAGGTTTGGGGAAAAGCTTTTTCCACATTAAATTAGCTGGTAGTCCATTAATATTTTGAGAAACTTGTGCCTGTGCTGACTTGAAATTACAGTAAAGGAAATATCTAAGAGTCACTACAAAGGGGATTTGAAACTCAAGAAGTGCTTGTCACTTGTCTGGCATATACAAAATGAGCATGATGTGTCCTGACTTGGTGTCTCAGACTTGGAAAAAAAATCCTGAACACTAAGGGACAGTGAAATGCCCCTGTTTGGAGAGTCCCCTCTAAGAACAGCGGGTTTAGCTGGGAGGAAATCCATCACCTGAGTAACAATGTCAGCTGAGGACCTAGAATTGCTCTAGCAAAGCCCAGACATGGAGCAGCTCAGTCTATAACCTCAGTCAGTCAGAGCTGGGGGGATGCAGCTGATTTCTTAAGTGACCTGGAGTCCCAGATTCCCACGGTTATGTGACACAAGTGGAGGGAGGCAGGTCAGACACATTAAAGAACCAAGCAGAGCTCTGCTTGAAACACCAGCTAATGCAACTATTCTTTTTCAAGCTTCATTTCCTGTTTAAAAAGGCCATTTCATGCAGGATCCTTGTCAGAACAGCGTTACCTAACAGCACTAAAGATATGACTCACTAAAACAACTGGAGTGTTGGATTCATTTTAGCTTTGTTTTTCACAAGCCGGGTCCTCATCAGCCGATATGAAGGTGAAAATACTGTACCCCTGAAACAGCAACCTCACAGAGGCTGCAGGCCAGCCACAGGGACTTGCTAAAACACCATTTATTTGGCAAAGCTTAGATGAGTATTAGCAGAATGTCTGTGTTGACCAAACTGGTTTGGAAGTGCAGCTATTTCCTAGGCAGGTTGTTTTGTCCTTTTTTTTTTTGCAAATGACAAATTTAAATTAAAAGTTCCAAGATTTTTTTGTTTATTTTTATCCAAAAGGAGAGCAGATTCCAGAGCAAGGAACTAAACACCAAACTATTTGCCTGCAGATGCAGTGATGCACCGACAGGGAAATGCTGCTTGTGGTATGTTTAGCCACAGACACCTCCAAGTGGAGTCACTCATTAGCGGTGACAGCTCTGCAGGGAAGGAGAAGGCATTTGGCAGGGAGAGCTTTCCATGGAACATCCATTGTGAGGAGCAGGGGCTGCACATGACAGTAATTTCTGGAGCACCAGGCTGAGAACTCTGACATTCCTCTTCTCTCCTGTTTACTAAAGTTAGGCCTGTCATTCTGGGAGTGTTCCATCCCAACCACAGCACTTCCAGACACGGGGAGCAGGGGCTGAGCAGGAAAGCACTGGCACCCTGCCAAGCACAGGATTCCTGGGACCTTTTTCCTGCTCAGAAGGAATTGGGGAGTGGATTCCATGAGAAGCAGATAAAAATAAACTTAACAGTGCAAAGAGGAGAGATCTGACAACAAAGTACAACCCAGGTGAACTCAGACAGGAAAAGAGACCTCTCTGTCACCATATTTAACGCACATGAATCATCACTTCCACATATCCAAGTGACAGCCTTGGCTGAGGTGAATCCATGCTCCTGCCCATCACCTTCCCAGAAGTGCCAGCCAGGGCAGGACTGCAAACACCTCACCCAGCTCACAGGTTTTACTGCACAGTGCTGTACAGTCAGCCAGATGCAAACACAGAGGTTCATCTTCAGGCACACTCACCTTCAGAAGAATGTCCACAATTCTCTGTTGATATTCCACAGCTTGCTTGTCATTCTTAAAGTCTTCAAAAGTCTGCAGGAGGCAAAACACTGACACCTTGAGCAAAATGCTCTTGGAACACCAGCAAGCACTAAGCAGCCACATCACAAAGCTGACAAAGCTATGAAGTCCTTCCTCTGCATATCCCTAAGCAGCAGGTTCCAAGGCACACTTTGGTCTTTTGTAACTACCAAAATGGTGTTTGCATATTCAGGTAAAAGTAACAGGTCCAAATAGACAGAGGAAACTCAAGAAATCTGGAAAGAAAAACAGATCTCTGTGTAGGAGAAGTAGGTCCTAGAACACTCTTTACAAACCCATTATTCTTGTTTTAACTGTGCTTTAAAGATGGTCTCTGCTACCAGAGCCTTCACTGTGTAATGTCCTGTTCATCAATTGATATTTAAGGACATAAAAGACTATTACAATCCTCCCTGACAGAGCATCTTCTAGAACACGCACCAAGCCAGGAGGTAATGGTTTAGCAAGGCACGAAGTCACTAACAGGAATCCCACAGGTGGTGCAGCCACGTGATGGAAGAGCTGGCACTGCATTTTCCCCTCGGGATCAGAGGTCTCTTACCAGAGCCAGGACGTTGAGGAATTCCCGCGTGTCGAAGTGCAGCAGGGTCCGAACGTAGGGATACACCTCCTCATCCACCGACCCCTCAGCCGAGTGCAGGCGGATGAGGAACTCAAACACCTGCCAGGAGAATTCCAACACATGTTCCCTATGGATTTCACGCACCGGTAGCACAAGTGCATGGGAAAGCAGCACTGTTACCTGCCTTGCACTGGAGTTTTAAAGGCCCTCAGGAGCCCATCAGGGTTCCTACTGGAGTGATGTTTTTTGCTGTTTGTCAGCAGGAAAAAAAATTCCCCCTCCTCAGACTCACCAACCAATTTAAGATCAATCAAAATTCAAGATCAAACAAAAATTAAGGCTTATTTATACTTGCAGATGTAAGCGTGTGAAATTAGAAAACTCCCTCCCCTTCCTGGCAGCTTTCCTGAGAAGCTGTGCAACTCCTCCTTATCCAGGGCACAGCTCTCCTTGTCAGCAGTTCCCTTGGGAAGAGCCAGTCACTCTGCCCCCTCACTTTGAGGCACAAAGCTTTTGGCACTGCAAAGGCTGACTCTGAGGTGCTATTCAATTCTCTGTCTCCTCCACTGACTTTGCAGTTCCTGACATTCGAGGATGTCTTCCAAAATGAAAGGAAACTCCCTTTACTGAGCCACTGCCAGAGGTGCCCAGACCCTCCCGGAGAACCAACAGGGCAGCAACAGCTCTGGGTGCCTGAACAGCCTCACACAGAGCTGGCTGCCAGCAGGGAGGGAGCAGACTGCTCCAGGCTGGCACTTGGGAATACGTGTGAGATACACAGTGGGATCCCATGGACACCTGACAGGCAATGTGCTCTCCCAGCCACCCTCAGCAAACCCCACCTTCCCTCATTTACTCCTATCCCGAGCTATTTTCCCTGTCACCACAGTGGCAGCGAAGCCAGCAGGAATTAGCAGCTTGACTTTGAGACCCACACCTTCCCTGTTGGTTTCCTTCATCCTGATATCCACCTGCCAGCTGGGAATGCTTCAGGAAAACAAGCCCAACCCACCAGACAGAAAGGTGTTACCGCAGCCCAGCTCTCAGGGGTCACAGAGAGGAGGGGCTGAGGGCTCCTCCCAGAGCTGCTGCTGCTGCTGCCTGGGCTCTGCTTCCCTCAGAGCCTGAGCCAGAGGACAACCTGACAGCCTTGGGAGAGGGAAACAGCAAAGGACAGGGGAGTTTGCCCAGCCGCTGAGGAAAGGGCTTGCAGCAACCCAGAGCCACCAGCTCTGGATTAGGGGAAAAAACCCCAAACCAAACACAAAAACACCAACCTGCCCCACAGCTAAAAAATACAGCAAAGAGAAAGTGCAAAACACAAAGTGCTTCCTCTTACTGAAACCCTGAAACTGAAGGGAAACCATAGAAACCCCAAAAAACTTTTGTGGTAAAAGTGGACAGAAACTCTGGAAAAGGTTGCACAAAGGGATGATTGGGAGCATCCTCTCTTTCAAGAAACTGTCAGGGATGACCCCAAAGGAGTCAAAAGCCTCAGAGAAACCTACAACCGAGAGCTACTTAGTAGAGACATTTCCACCCACTGTCAATCCCGTGTCATGTGCATTTGAAAACAGGGAAGATTCTCCCATATTTGACATGTCATAGTCAAGTTTAGGAAGAAAAGCTACAAATTACTGGTAAATTTGTGGTTAAGAATAAGATAAACCCAATCACCAAGAACTCTACGTTCCCACACCCCAATTTGCAGTTGAAAGAAGAATATTAATTTTAAATGTTCAGTCTGCAACAACTGTTTGGTTTCATTCTTTAAAAACTAATTTGGTATTTACAGTAGGATACACTCATATCACAAGGATGCAGATATTAGACTGATAATAGTTTTGCCTCAAAAACCCATGAAATAAGACATATGCAGCTTCTTGTATAAATCTCATATGGGAAAGCTGCCTTCCTAAAGGTTTCTTACCTGATTTTTCACCAGAGGTACCAGATCTTCAGGAATATCTCCCAGTGGATATGCACGGCCTGCCAAGCAGCAGCTACAAAAAAGGAGGGGAAAGTCATTTTAATATGTCCTGACATTAAACAGATTGAGGAGAACTGCTTTTTTATTTTCTGAGTTAGTTTCCAGGTTGATCTTAAAACAGGGCAAACCCATTTATTTTGTAGATCATGAAAGCAAGCACTGCAGGCAGCACCTGCTGTTAATACACACTGAGCCAACACACTGCATTAATTTGCATCTGAGGTGTCATTCCACAGCAGAAAAGTACTGGGGAAAGTCAGGATTTTTCACAGAGGTCTTTACTTTTGAATTTTAGGAGTGAGCTCCTGCAAATGACAGGCAACACAGCAAGAAGCAACTGAGCACAGCCATCCCAGCAGGCAGGGCAGCAGCGCCTAAACACAGCTGCTCAGGCCTTGCTCCAGGAGCACCATGTCACACCCAGGACTAAACTGCCTCTGACCCAGTTCTGAAGATAAAAACATGGGGCTGGCATATCAGCAGTAACCTGAGCTTTGTCTCCAACTTGATGCTGCCAATCTCCTCACACCACGTGCAACAAGAAGGCATTGCAAACTGCAGTCAGCTGCAGTGAGGACCCTCTGCTGTTTTACACACCCTCCCTATAAGATTCTGCAATACAGCAGAAGAATTTAGCAAGTTTAAAATCTGGTGCCACCACCAGGCAACACCTCACCCGCTCCCAGAATGGCCTTACCTTATATACACAAGCAGCTTGTTGCCCATTATTACCTGCTCATCTACAAAACAAAAATTATTTGTCACCTTTTCTTCACAAGACAAGATAGATGCAAGTCTTCTCCCAGCTGCTGGCAAAACATCTCATCTGCACACAGAGTTTATCCCACAGAAAGCTGAACAGCTTTACACACAGTAAATAGTACCAGAAGACTCTTCTGTTCTCCAAGATCCTTATACTACGTATGCATTCCCTTTTTGCCTCTCTGTTGGAAGTGACTAGGAATATTCAAAACATCAAAACATCAAATAAAAAATAGACACCCTCAAAGGAAAAGATTTCTGTACCTGTGAGAGACTTCCCAGCATTCAGTGGAGGAGAAATGACTTTGAAGAGTTTCTGTAACAAGAAAAAAGGCAGTGCTCAAGCAGCTGTGAAAGCTCAAAGCAAAGAACCTGTGTGGTTTTAAAGCAGAGATCAACGGGTGTCTTCCCACAGAAACTCTCTATCACCATGTCTTTTAATTAAAAAGGCACAGAGAACTCCAAGACATGGCAAAAGGATGCTTTTCCCAGCTGATGTTATGAAAAAACAGCCCTCACTCAATCAGATCTAACCCTCAGCACAGACCACGCTAAGAAAAAGCAACGTTCAGCAGTCCCAGAAGTAACAGTACGAGTTTAACCCACCACTCTATCTCCTGTTCCTGCATCTCCTGCCACCAGAGATTGTGCAAACTTTCAGCCCACCCAGCAGCATCATCAGAGCCTTTACTTTGGGCGTGTAGAATGAGGAATTTTCTAAGCACTTAGTTCTAGAAAGCAGAAGAGTTTTTTGTGCTCATACAACTAGTGCTTGGTTTCCAGAAGTTCTTTTTCAAATCATGAACAAGTAAGAGTTTCTCTCCTGAGAAAAATCAAATGAGATCACAGCTGCTAAAAACCGGGCATTGAAGATTTTCACATTCAAATGGCCCCAGCTCTTTGTTTCAGCACTACTGAGAAAACACCAGCAGTGCTTCCACAGTGAAACACAGGACTGCCCTTGAAATGAAAGAGGGCAAGAACACAGAACACATGGAATGAGAGGATAAAATTTTGGGTTTGAGCTGCAGTTTCTCAGCAGAAATGTGTGCTGTACCCCCCAACAACACCTCCCTGCACCCAGCAGCTCTCCTACCTCCATGGGGCTGATGAAGTCGTTCATCCCACTGTTGTACACGTAGATCATGGCATCATACAGACGGTTCTCCCAGCACAGGAGAACGACCTGCAGAGCAAAGCACAGTGCAGATACACAGCTGCTCTCAGCTCACAGCTTCCTCATTCTCCATTTCCATTATCCAACAGTACCACTCAAAGCAAAATGAGACCTTCCACTTGCAGAACTAGCCTCTGCAGGGACCCCAAATCCCCAAAGGGAGTGTCCAGTTTATTGCTCATGCAGCAAGCATGGAATTGAACTGTTGAGATTCTAACATTCATATGAGGTTAAAGAACAAATAAATTAAAAATCAGTTCTTCAAAACCCTTGACTGCAGTAGTTTGCCTCCTTGTTGGGCTAGTGAATCAAAATATTAAGTTCCCAAGGAGTTTCATCCTTGAAATGGAAAGTCATGTCACTGGAAAACAGGACTACTGAGCAGGAACACCTCCTTGCTCCAGTAACTTCGTTGTGCTAGAGCAAAGCAGGCTGGCAGGCACCAAGCTGACAAAAGCCAGTGTTTTGTGCCTCTGAGGCACTGAATTTGATCCCAGGGGCACAGGGCTGAGCTCTGTTACAAATCAGGGACCAAAAAGCACAAACAGTTTGGACTACCTAAGTCTTGTCTGTGGAAAGGTGACACCTTGTTTCCCACGTGTTATGCTGTGCTTAAAAGCACAAGATGTTGATTTATTCAGAGGAACTCAATACAGTGTGCAGCACAACCACTCACCTGCTGGATGTCTAAGCTAGTGATATCCATATGCACAATGCAGGCTTCCAAGTTTTCCAACCTGTTCTTATCTTGGAAGTGAAGCAGCAAGTCTTTCATCACCTGAGCTGTCATTCCCATCAGCTTGTCACTTAAGATATATGGCTCCAAGCACTCCAGAAAGATGCCTTTGGCTACAGAATTCTCACTCATCTTATCATATATCTGGTTAAATAATAGATCCCTAGGAGGAAAGAAGAGTTTAGTTATCAAATAATCTTATTAAAATCTCATTACTTATCTACATTCTGAGGGCTCCAAATTAAACTCCATTTCCTCCATATTTTCCCAGGCTCAGGAACTGAATGCCCTGTTCAAGTCCTGAACTGCAACAAGCTACAGGATAAATCAGCTGTGGATGTTGCAGCAAAAAAAGTGTTGTTAGAAGGGAAGGGATGATGATGATGACAGGAAAATCTATCACGGCAGGCTCTTGGTTTGAAGCTACTTTTCTTCCTTAACATATCAGTGAAAATTTAAGAGCTACTCTGAGTACTGAGTCCCCTGACTTTAGTACCAGCTTTTAAGCATTCCTCTACACTGTGATGTGACATGATATGAAGTGATGGGACTCCTCTCCTCCATGTGATGTCATGGGGACAGCACTGGGGGGCTACAGGGAGGGTTGGTGGTGGGCCCTGGGACTTACATGCGCTGCAGCAGGAGACAGTAATCGACAATGACGGGCACCACGTCCTGCGGGAGGGACACAGAAACAGAGGGGCTGACAGGAATCCTGAGCAGCACATCCTGCCCAGCACACAGCACAAACAAAGAGCTATCTGGACTGGCTGGTAGCTGGCACAGTTACAGGTTTTCCATACGGAAAAAGCCCCTGGTGACACTTGTGCAGAGGACAGAGGGCACCCAGCCATGCCCACGTCCTGGTTTTGTGAGTGCACACAAGAGGTGAGAGATCAGCTGAACCACAGCGAGATTTCTCAAAACCAGACAAGTCATGTTTGGAGTAAAACAAAGTCTGATTAAAAAAAAACAAACCCAAAAGATTCATAAAGAGTTCTCTGGAGCACCATACCTGAAAGTGTTGCTCCATAACCTGGATTTTCCCTTGGTCAGGACATTTCTTCAAAGTCCGATCAGCATAATGGAGAAGGATTTCAACCATCTGAATTACACAAAACAAAACATTAATTCAGACCCTACACTAAGGAGTTTTCAGGCTGTTGAACACATCCTAAAGCACAAGGCTCACCTGAGCCATGTTTTTATCCAAAGCTTATTTTACAGTATCTTAAACAGCAAAAGCCAGTTACCTCCAAATAAAATACACCAGAACAAAGTACAGCAATAAGTGTATATTTTAAACACGTCCTTCCCAGAAAAAGATTCCTGTAACAACTGAACTGGATCAGTTGAAGAGTTTACTCCAAGGCCACACAAACATGGAGCAAAGTTTCCACCCTGAGAGTCAGCACATCACATACTGACGGTCGTCAGGAAACTCTGGAGTTTCCTGCACAAAAGGTTCCTCTTCGCTGTGAGAGGACCAGAGATCTCCAGGCCTGGATGACAGTGTCACCTTTTGGTTTGGTTTTTTCACCTAATGTTGCAGATTTTATCCCCACCTTTACCTAAATGGTATTTCCAAGTTTTTTCTAAAATCCTGCTCACAATCTTAGCAAGAGAGGCACATGGACACATTCCAGAGTTAGTTCTGGAGGACAGCAGCTATTCCTCATGGGAACACAGTCAGCACACACCAGCACACATGAACATGCAGTTGGAAGAGCTCAATGACTCACCCTGTCTGCAATGACTGCCTTCCTCTTGGTCGTGTCCCCAGTCAGGCCTGGAAAAAATGAGGGAGGGGTGTGGAAAATGAAGCTTTTCTGATCTAAGCTACCTGCAGAAATACAACAACTCCCCAGTTCAGATGCCAGCACCACTGCCCTTGAGATTGTGAGGTCAGGATATGTAAACACACAATTTTGTGTTCTACTTTTGGCCCACTCTTCTTCCAAAAGGCTTATTCTCCCAAATTTAAAGACTGTTTCAGCACAGGAATGGCAAGAGCAGCTCTGAGTGCTGTTTAACACTAGGAGGACAACTAATGGAGGGCTGTCAAAGACTGCACATGAGGGTAAATTGCTGGAGGAGTTCTTGATTCAAAGCAGATGAATGAAGTGCACTAAAAGGGGAAAACAATGTAAATGTCAACTCAAAAAGACAGTTTTTCATTATTCAAAGAATTCTTATCTGTTAATTGTGTTATATCCGTGCATTAAAACACAACACAGCTTCATACACCAGCAATTTCACAGCAGGATCTTATCCTGAGGACTTGCAGCTCGCCTGTCAAAACCATCAAAAGTTATTTGCTGTAAAATAATGTGTCCAGTACAAGTCACATCATTTAAGTGGCATAATTAACACATTTCTTATAACAAGCTAAGTGCTCACAAAGCATCCTCCTTTGGAGGAAAGACAGGGTAAAACCTCAGCAGTTCTTTCAGTCATTGTATAGTCAGAGGAGACCGGAATGGAAGTACCTACTTGGAAGAGCCAACAGAAAATCACACTGAAAGCTACCCACAGCTCAGGCATGACCTCCAGGCTGGAGATTCACCTCCTGGATCCACCTCCTTCATGGTAAAGTGACAGCAGATGGGAGTCACAACACATGCTCGTTTGAAATCAGCAAACTGTTAAAGGGACTGCAACTCAAAAAACCAAACTGATCTGTTGCTTCTGCCAAACCCAAAGCAGCACATCCTACTTTCTTCTTCAGTTCAATTCTCTGCCTTTTTTTTTTTCTTATTCCCCTGAAAAAGTGATTTCTGTACATGCCCAGGTTTAAAACCTTCCCTAGAGGTTTCAGTTAAAAACCAACCAACCAACCCACCCAAACTTACCTACTACAGCCTTTGCTTTACCTTCACAGAAGGACCAAGCTAAAGCCAGGGCATCTGTGAGACGCTCTTGTTTCAGAAGGTGGTCAACTCTCTGAAATAACAAGGGACACTGGACCTCAGTCCTACAGAAAAGATGATCCTCTCCTCCCATGTAAGATCAGCACTTCCCAGTAGTGGGTCAGTCCCTGACAGCAAGGGGACAAGACACCTCAGAAGCTCTCACCATGCTACAGTAAAGGCCAGGACCTCAAAGAGATGCTCTCAAATGTACATTTTCTGCTGAACAGTTCAAAAAACCTAAGAGATGTCAGGCCCCAGTAACCCCTGTGGGTTACATGTTAGGTCAGAGGTTTGATAGATGGGGACCCACAGCATTAGTGACTCTGATACACAGAGAACAGGAATCTTCCATGCCTCATCCTTGCCTCATCACAAGCCCAACAAACCCCTCTGCCCTGCTCTCAGCACACAGTTGTCCTCAGCCCACCCTTTCTCTTCTCCTGAGCTCACAGTCAGCAGGACTGAGGTACATCACAAGGATTTTCTGCCTTAAGGAATTATTAGCACCCAAGGTCGAGCACCACCAGCCTTGGTAGGTCAGGTCAAAGTGTTAAAGTATTGTCTGGGAGAAGAGAGATTCCAAGTCTCAGCCCAGCATGCTGTCCTGCAGCAAGAACTGTGACCTTCCCCCTGATCACCACATACTCCATTACAAGGCCTACGTCCCCTATGACAGAGGCACAACTGCAGCTCAGCACAGGAACTTAGAAAGGGGTTGGCTCAGGAATCATAAATCTTGATTGATTTTTGATTCCTAGGAAAATCTGTCCCTGAAATCATGGGTCAAGGAAAGGCTTGTCATCACAGTTTACTAAACCAAAGTCAGCAGTGAATGGCTGGATACAAAATCAGCAGAGGGAAGTGACTTGCTGAACTAAAAGCTCAACCAAGCTGTTCATATTCCACAGAATAGAATAGGTGCATAGAACAGGGACCAGGGATAAAGAAAGGAGTGGTGATCTTACAGGAGAAAGAAAGGAGTGGTGATCTTACAGGAGAAAGAAAGGAGTGGTGATCTTACAGGAGAAAGAAAGGAGTGGTGATCTTACAGGAGAAAGAAAGGAGTGGTGATCTTACAGGAGAAAGAGTTCTGCTCAGCCTTGCAAAACTAAGTCTGAGAGAGAGTAGGCATACGCTGGATAAACATACTGCAGAGTGGTGATCCAGTAAGGAAAACTGGTCTTTAATTCAAGTGAAAAGTACTACACAGGAACAGACAGACATGAACAGATCACGAAAAACTTCAGTGGAGAAACTGATATGGTTTGAGCCCCAAGAGAAATGATGTTCCAAAGAAAAGCTTCAATCAACAAGGATCTAAAATCCTATGAATTTCTCGGTAGCCTTTGATGGATTTTATGCTGCAGCTCCTGCAGCAGGTGGAGACAAAATACAGGGAACCAGACTTCCTTCAGCTCCTGGATGCTCATGTGGCAGACACAAGGGCTGAACCCTGAGTCAGGTACTGCACTATCTCTGTCTCATTAACAGGAGCTGACACCTGTCAAGGCACAGTGCCTGGTCTGGGACAGCAGGGGCTCCATCCAACCTGCAAGGTCATGCAAGACCAGAACATGCTCAACAAAATGCTCTCTTCCTCCTCTTGACCTATACTTAAACTATTCCAACCTCCTAAGCTGTCCAGTTTCCCTCTCCACATACCTCTCTCCAGCTTCTCAATGTCATGACGTGAACAGACTAGGAAAGAAAAAAGAAATTAAAATAGTCATTAACTTTCAGTTGCTCCTGCAGCCTGTGGTACCCCACAGACCCACCACACACACTGGTACAGAGGAGCTAAGTAAAGCAACCCTCAAGCTGTATAAATTGCAGCCCAGTTTCCCCTGCTGCTTATTCCCCAACACATTCATAGCAGAGATTTTGAAGCTTAGGCCAAAGGAGATGTTAGTAAAGTAATGCTGAGTCTACTCTGAAGCAGCCCAACTCAGGATACTGTGAAACTATGACCAAGTCTTACTTAGCCCATATCTTGGCTAAAACCAAATTTTTGCACATTTCTTCAATTCTGCAACATAAGGGCACAAAGAGCCCAGTACACATTTCCACAGAAGAAAAGCTGTCCTTCTCTGGAAGAAGAGCTGCCATCAACAGTGAATGGCCTGCACTTGTATTTAAAAACTCCCCCCACTTACCTTAGTTCCAAGGTAAAAGATCTGGCCACCACAGCTGCTGATAGATTGGTAACAAGCCTTCTCTCCCACCAGTGCCTACAGGGAGAAAAACCACATGCAAGTAAACCTGCCTTTTGTTTTTGTAAAATTTCCCAAGAAACAGAGCACTTTAAAGACCCTTTTGTAATCAAAATGAGGACGGGGAGAGAACACCACAGATTGCTGGACAGTGGTAAGTCAGAGAGCTCTGCTGTCACTCCTTCCTGCTTGGGAACTCAGCTTAAACTGCTGCTGAGCTCTGGCTACCCAAAACCATGACTAAGTAGGGCTCAGGTGCCAAAAAAGTTATGGGGGCTCTTTCCTTGCCATCTGCTACTTCCCAAATCTCCCTCAAGAGCAAATGTGTAAGGGCACACAGATGAGAAGGCGACTGTCGAAGTGAGAGTTGCTCCAACACAAGTCTGACTGCCAGTAACCAGTGCTCCAGTCTTTGGGGAATAGTAAGTAAAAAATCCCTTACAAAATAAAGCACATCAGCTTTCGTCCTGCACAGAGCATTCCAAGGCTTGAAGAGCAGCTCCCAAAGACCTCAGTGCACAAAAGGAACCATGAGCTGTGTGTTAGCTGCCCCCATCACCACCAGGCCTGACTTCTGAGGTGCTCCAAAAGGGCTTTTTGCCTGCAGGCTCCCACTTGGGGTGTCCCTGACACAGCTGCTGCCCCAGTAGGTCCCTGGTGCCTACCAGGGCCTCGCTGACGTTGCCCCCTGTGGCCAGGGATTTGAAGTGGCTGCTGTTGTAGACCAGCTGCACCTCTGGGATCTCGATGGTCTCCAGCTCCTCCTGGGTCTGCCGGTCTATGACGTGCAGCTTCTCCACACTGTCCAGCAGCACCGCAGTGCGGGAGTTGATCCACTGCAAGAGCAAGTCCCACATTTCAGCAGTGCAAACACAGAGACCAAGGAACCAGGCTCTGGCCACATCCCTGAGTATCAGCACAGGGAATTCTAGGAGGGTTTGTTACTACCCACAGTCACTGCACACACACAGAACTCTGAAGGGAAAGATGGGGGGCTCCCTCTGGAGAAAAATCACATGGAATCTTCACAGAAACAACTGTAGACAAATGGTAAATCCACCAAAGTTCATGTTGCACTTTATGCTCCAGCACACTTTTTATCCAAAGGTTTCAAAACCAAGATGATTACACCACCTGCTCCCAAATCTCTCAGGTAAATATAGCAACAAAAGGCAGTAAAAAGAGATATAGTACAACTGAGTTTAACTCACAGCCTGTCCCTCATATTCCGCAGCTCCTACTTTTGTGTTCAAAACCTTGCAAAATAAAAACACCTTTTTTCACTGCTTTTACAATTTTTAATTTATATTTTTTTAAACAGACAAATGTATTTTTACAAACTTCACATTCCAGCTGATGTGGACGTCCATACTGATGCGGTATTTTGGCCTTTCACATTTTGCTCACTGTATTCTGTAAATGTTTAGAGCTGAATAGTTTTTGTTGTTGAAAGCATCAATTATGGTGCTGTATGAAGCACTTATGTATAGAAACACTGGAATGTTACTCAGCCAATTACACAGAAGTTTGCACTTTTTTTAGTTTGAATACAGAGTAAAAATCTTTTCTGCCAGATACCCTCTGGTCTTGAAAACATTCCCTCAACAAAGCTACCCCTCCTTCCCAAAAAAAGGCAGTATTGTTGCCTCCATGCTACTGATTTTTTATCCTTTAGCTACTACTTGCTGGTTTTCCACAGAGTCCCAGGTTTGAGGGCATTTTCAGTTAGTTAGCACTGGATAAACACAGCCAAAAGCACAGCACTCTGGGCTATTGAAATATATTTACAAGAAAACCAGTTCAAAAAAATTAACCATTCTATAGTATTGAGACTCACAGTAAAGTTGATGAGATCATAGTGCAGATGAAGCTGCCTCTGCTTAGTGACATGTATTGCACCTGTATCATCTCTCTTGACCTGAAAGAGAAATCAAAGCTGACTCAGACTCCAAGACTTCCTTCAGTCTCAGTTCCCCAAACGACTCCAGGAGTCTGGAGCTCCCCCCAGAGAACCATCTCAGCAAGACAAGCTTAAACACATCCTTTTCTTTCTGCCCAGTTTTACCAGGAGAGAAGGTAGAGGAGAAAGAGGATCAATCCAGACAGTACAATGTCCCTGTGCTTGAGCAAAGCTTAAGGTCCAAGATGATGGCAGAGTTGGGAAACAAACTTAGCACTCCAAAGTCAAAATGTCAGATTTTCTGAAGGGTAGGTACTGCTCTCATACTGAAAGCAGGCATGAAACCATCTTGAAGAACCACATCTGCATGTGTGACTGCTGCAGACCTAACCAGGATGAGCAGCATGCTCTAAAGTCACACACCAACAGAACCTGAAAGTTCTTTTCTTAGTGGTTTATACCATTTTTTTCCAGACTCAAGTTTTAAATCAAAAAATAGAATGGTATCTCAAATTCATGTGCCCTCCTGAAAACAATGCATACTCAAGCAGAAATCAGCTGCAAATCAGTACTTCTGGAACAGACAAATCTCACACCTCCACGTCCTCAGGGAAGGGCACCACTGCTTGCTGAGGAGCAGTGAGCACCAGGCTGGTTTTGCCAAGCTGCAGCCATGCCCAGAGATCACCCTGTCACTGAGACACAGGCTCTGTCAGCTGAACATGTCAGGGAGACAGGACTGTCTGAGAGGCAGCACAGAACACCCCAGGCTCACCAGCAGGAAATGCACGACGTCTCCTCGACAGAAGGCCAGCATGGGGTTCACAGAGCTCTGCACAGCCACAAAGTGCCAGGCCAGGAGAGGGACACTTGAGGGGTCCATCTGTCACACAACAAGCACAGCAAGTGTTTAGGGCAGGCCAGGCACACCCTCGGATCCAGGACACATGGGGCCCATCAGCTGCTTCTCACTGACTTCACCACGCACACACAGGGGCTGCAAAGCAAATTCCATTCCTGGCCTGGTGGTAGCTGAGCAGCAGCTCGTGCCCTCTGGTGCAGCCCCACGTTTAGTGGACACCCAGTCACAACCCCCCAGTGTCCTCTGTGCTCAGTGTACATCCAATCTCACAGGGACAGATGCACTACCAAGAGCTGCAGCTTGCCTGCAGCCTTGTCTCCATTCTCCCACCCTAACATACCCCTCACCTGCCCCCCACTGCCTTTCCAAGAGGAACTATACCAGCAAGTAGTGAAGGTGAATAATCAAGAGTTTAGAAGCCTGACTAGTCCTCTAATTCCACCCAGTTTTGGTCCCTTTCATTAAGGGGTCTGTTGTATGGTTCCTCTGTAAAACATCAGCCCCAGTCCAAGGTGACTGTACCCTCAGTCAGATGAACATCCCACTGTGGGTGCACCAGGTTGCAGCAGGGAAGACAAGCAGCTGAGGGGCTCCTTCCTACTTATCTGGGAAATTCAGCATCTTCCCAGAGGTACAGCTGGAAGCAACCTTCTCAGCCCCTCTCTGCCCACAACCTGCACACATCAGACCATCGGTTATCACCACAACCCCACAGTGCAGTTGGCAGAGCGCTGACAAGGGAGTGACACCAAACACCTGGTTTGTGTCTCATCCCATCTCCTGCACTCCAGACACTGTTTGTAGCCATAACCCAAAAAGCACCTGTGTGGCTTCATTACTCACCCGACCATAGGGAAAGGTCATCCACACCTTCAGAGATGGCTTTAGGCCAATAACCAGTATCTTCAAGGAAAACAAGACAAAATGAAATGTCTGAGGATAGAGTAGAGAACTTCTCCTCTGTGACTTCTGCCAGTAGCACGTTACCTTTGTGAGGGAGGCCATGGCCAGCAGTGAGTAGTGGGTGATAGGATGGTCTCTCAGGTCAGCTTTTGCATGTAAAGGCTCAATACAGCAAACTTCCCCCTTGGAGCCACTGAAGAGACACCGAGATTCACAGGTCCTCACTCCCATAACCCTCCTGCAAACAAGAGTTCAGCTCAGGGGCCAGTTATCAAGAAGAGATCAGCCCAACAATCTCATGACATCTCAACTGTGATCCTTCATAAGTATTCAGTTTAGGAAGTCCCTTGCACAGTGCCAGGGATCACTTGTAACACATCACTGGGAGCGTTCCCCCAAAGCTGCTCGGATACACACAAGAACTCCTTAAGATCTTATCTAACAGTAACATTTTGGAAGCTGCTGGACACAATCAGACTCCTTTGGTTGTCAATTCTTCCTCCTTGTCCCTTCTCCTCTTGAAGAGGCCAAGAAGTGGTTACTGCAGGGCAGCTCTCACTACTGAGCCAAGGAAAACCAAGAGGCAGTACTTCCATGAGAGCTACCAAGAGCCCCCAAGGAATGCCAAGATCCTGGACAATCCACTGACCCCTCCACAACTAAGGCTATTACTCACCTATTGCAATGCCAGACAGCACCTTGCTTCAGCTGGGAAACTACACTGCAGCCCTAGACTGCACCTTCAGTATTCACACAGCAGCTTTATTGGTTCCAATGGGGATTTTTTCTGCTTAGGTTTTAGAGACTATGGGCCAGAATTGGTTTATTGAACTTTCTATGGGTACTTGAGAGTTGTTGCCTTACTTGAAGGACAGTTCAAACACGGAGCCTCCGCTGTCGTTGCAAATCGCAAGTGTCGGGTCATCTGTAAACTGAGCAGGTGAGGAGATTAAAAGCGGCCCTAAGAAACAAACTACCAAAAAATGGACATAAAAATACATGCTATGGCAGTGTGAACAGCACACAGAAGTACAAGCATTGCACCTACAGAAAGACACCTTTAATGTCCCCAGTTGAGACAATTACTGTCTTTTTCATGGTGAGCAAGAGACGCAGGGTCTGTGTTTCTCCTTCACGCCTCAGCAAGCCCTGTTGATAGATTTTGGCACCCACTGTTTTCTGCTGCAGCTCAGACTTACAGCTGATCAAAATCTGTGCTACCACTACAACAGCTCACAGCCTCGAGCCTGTGGGCTGGGGCCAGAGCTGCTGAATGGGCTGCAGTCACAGACCAAGGTATGATTTTCTGTGTGTGGCAATAACACTGTGATGAACAAGAAGCCAGAGATGATTTCTCTTTCAACCCAAACATTCCCAACAAGCTATTTGAAAAACTGCTGACAGAAGCTACTTTCTACACCTCAGACTCTTTTAAGTTTTAAATTGGTAAGTCATATATCCAGGTCAAAACACTCCAAGTTTTAGAGGAATGTGTTCCAGCAACTAATTCTTCATACATTTTGGCATCAGAGAGGAGTTACAACAGACAACAACTGTTGTTTGTTGCAGTACAACTCACCGCCAATACTATTCCATCAACTCTCAAAATACTCAGTTTCATTTTTAAATTTAATTCCTGCTCTTTTTCTCATCTCTGCATACCACTGCCATACAGCTCCTAGGTTCTGCTCTTGTCTGTCAGTGTACAAGTACTGCACAAGGGAAGTCACCCATCCGATGAACAATGATGGGATACCAGGAGTTCCTGCAGTGTTTTTACCTTGATGTGCAGAATGGCTGTTCCTGGTGGGTGAGCATCTGTTATCGAGCGAAGCAGCTTCCCACTGGCCAGGTCCCACATGGTGATCTGCAAGCAGACTGTGCTCAGTACCCAGGTGCTCTCAGGGGTTCTCTCCACCACCTCGAGCATTATACAGTACCTCAATAAATTCCCACAGAGCCATGATCACCGCAGGTTAGTAGGGTTTTCATAGTAAGGGAAAGCAACCTGAAATCTGTTCCTCCCCTATATTTCCAAGCATTTTACTTGTCTGCTAATAGTTGACATCATTAGAGTTATCTTCACAACTCTGAGCTGTCCTTTTGGCCAGCTGCCTCCCTGCCCCATCTCACTCACCTCACAGTCTGACACCACCAGTAAAGAATGCAGGACAACCGTGCTGCCACACACCACTGTTCCAAGGGCCTCACTGCACTTCCCTCTCCCAGAATCACTGAACAGTGAAAAATCTCCGCTAACACCCATCAACAAAGCTCCAGCATGCCCATGGCTACCATGAACCTTGTCCCTCCTCTGCTCCTGTGCCTGCCCAGAGTAGCAGCTCAGCCAGGAGGATGGAGCTTGGCTTCTGCCTGATATTCAATCCAAGCAACATCTCACCTAAGAAGCAGCAAGTCCCAAGGCACTCACTGCATAACTGAAGAGTGCTTAGCCCAGAAAAGCCGAGATTACAATCTGAATCAAGTGTTTTATGGGAAACAGTACTTTGTGTGATTCTGTACTTCACCTATCCACACTTCTAGAACTGCTGCTCCAAAATTATTTATCTGAGTATGATTTAAACCTGGCTGCTGTCCTGCATTGAATCTCTATTTCCATGTGGTCTGGAGCAGGCTGGCATTTAGCCCTACAGCAGGCACTAGGGTGTGTTCGATCTACAAAGAAGGGGAAAACCAAAGAAGTAAAAGGAAATTAATCTAAAAGGCATAACAAAGTAGAATTCTTTGTATTCCTTTGAATTTTACCAAGTTAATGTATATCCATTTTGCTTTAGTTCGCCTTGGAACTCCTGTTCAGGAATTGCTTTCCCTCCTTTGGTTCTAAGAAGAACAGAAAACTACAACAGACTCAAACTCCTTTTTCCCCTGCATTTCAAAGCTATGCTACTCAGTCATAAAACACAAGATATTAGTCACTTCATTAAATAAAATCAAAGGAAGTTTCACAAAATTAAATGAAATCAAATTTCTTGAAGTGAAATGAAATTTAACAAAATGAAAAATGAAAAGCCGACAATTCCTTTTATTTCATGAAATGAACTTTGGGGTTGCATACGAGTTTCAAGAATTTCAAGTCATCACCACAGTAAAAACCAAGCACAGACCTTCCAAAGTGACCCAGAAAGACTGAGCAGGTTGTCTTGGTGAGCCCCTGCACATTTCAGTTTATCAGGGGCAGGAATTATGCCACAATTAAATCCTTTCACTGAACTCTTCCTCCCCAGAAACCTGCCCCAAACACTCCGAGCCGGCTCCCTGGGTGCAGGGATTGGCTGCCAAAAAGGCTCTGGGCAGATGACACCACATGTAACTTCAGTGCTTCTGAGCACTAAACCAACCAACACACAGCTACACAGTGAGGGTGCTCGGCCTGGAGTTCCAGAGAGCCTCCAGCTCATCCCTTGGGAATATTACCTGTCCCTTGGCAAAGCCACACAGGAGCCTGGAACAGTCGTTGTTGATGCTGAGGGCAGAGATGGCCCCATACTGGGCCCCCACAGCGGTGCTGCCCAGGCACAGCCTCAGAGCCTGGTTCTGATCTAGGGCACAACAACCAGCAAGACATTAAAGGAAGAGCAGTAATTAAAATTAACATCATGCAATTATTTACAGGTACAATTCACTTGGGGTACATTAACGACTCACAGGCTTAAACAATTAAGTTCTTAAAAAAAGAGTTCACAAGATGAGAGCACATGTTAGTACAGAGAGAGTGGGACACTGGCTTGCAGGGAAATACAAAAATGATTTTTAAGAGTACAAACCAGGCACAGGGAAAACAGAAATGCAGAGGTATTACATAATGAAGAAGAAACTACTGGAAAAATCAAAGCAGCATCTAGCTTTCCTTTTAATACTCTGCTTTGAAGCATCGATGATGACAGAAAATTAATTCTATCTTCTGAGCCTTGTATCTCCGTATTTGAACATCAACTGCAAAGCCCCAACACAGGTTTAACTCTATGTCATAATTTTATTATTATTTTGTCATTTTATTCCTTGGTTTCATTAATAAGGGCGAGAAGCTGGAGGGAAAAGGAACTTGCTCTCCAAGGGGAACAGTTAAAATGGTCCATGAGGAAAGATGCTTTGTGAGGACTGTTGGAAATACATCAGAAACACCACAGTACCACTGTTTGCAGGATTCACCTAGAGCAGGGAAGGGAAAGGAAAGGATCCAGGGAAACAGAGCTGAGCACCAGAAACCCCCTGGAAGGTCTGCCCAAGGCACAGGAAATGTTACTCCAGGCTGGAGCACTGCTAGAGATGAGTGAAACAGAGCATGGATGTATCCCTGTACCCTGCATTTCCTCCCCAAAATGATCGATCCATCAGGCAGCAAAGACAGACTGAGGGCTGAGCACACAGTGGAGTCACCTCAAATTCTACCTGGATGAAGAGGCATTAGTGGGAGAAACAAATATGAGCCAGAAGAGCAGCGGAACCCACAGATTACCCTAAAGCACTGTTCAGTGCAGAAAACATCCTTGGCCACACTACCAGAAAGCACCTTGACATCCCCACGACCCCTCACAGTACAGATCAGAACCAGTCACAGAACAAGATAAATCATGGAAGATTTCCATGGAAGTTCAGACAACAGACAAATTTCCCAGAGAAATATTCTCCAAATGGTGTCAAGATCCAAATCCTGTTCCAGAGGTCTGGAAATACAGTCCATTTAGAAAAATACCACCTGCTAACCATAAAAATATGTCTGAAAACAAGGGCAAAGCTGCATCTCTTCATATGGAAAGTAAGTGGCATCCTGTACATTCCACTGCAGGCTGTCAGTGAGTCAAGACCTGTTTCCTCTAAGGCATGAAAAAGGAGAATCTTCCACAGCTTTCTCTGAAAAGGCTTTTTATACATCTTTATATGTATCCCCACAGAAACTTTCCAAAGCCCTTTTCTTTTCCCCTCACCCCCAATGTTAATTCCAAACAAACATCCCAAAATGAAGTGATTTGTATGACCAATGCCACCAGTACTTGTTCCTGTTTCCAGACAGTCAAAAGATGACACACAGGGAGGAGCCATTAGATCCGATTTTTTTTATAAAACAACTATAATATGGATGAAATTGCTTCCAAAGCAAAACAAGATCAGAGAATTGATGAGCTCCTATTAATCAGCTGGCAAAGTAACAAAAACAGATAAAAACAAAAGGTTATAGAAGGTGATCTGATGATTTTCCAGACTTACATTATCAGTTTGGAATTAAGGTACATTTAGGATTAAACATGAAAAGCTCTCCCCAAATGCTTGAAACAAAAGTGGCTATCAATTGTCCAAAAACAGTTTTAATTTTTTCAATTTACAAAAGGTAATTCCTCATCTGAAAGTCCTCTGGCAGTAACTATATTGCTTTCAGTCTGAGGTCAAGGTGAAATGGCCCTTAGACACAGCTCTGCAAGCACAGGCTCAAACCAAGTTTGTGAATGCAAAGCAAGTCACTTCCCAGGCCACGGGAATGAGCAGAGCACTCCAGAAGCTTATCCTGCTCAGATCACCAGCTTGCCATCAAGATCTTCCCGTTAAGCCCTGATTTTCCTGGGTTTGAATTGATTTCCTGCAGAATTGCTCAAATATCACAAAATAATCACAGCCAGAACTGCTCTGGATGGAGGTGAGCTCGTGGAAGAGGTTTCATCCTGCCCCAGAACAACTCCCTCACAAACACTCCCTGTGGAGCTGCTGCCCTAGCACAGGACAACAAGCAGCTTTACCTGTTCCTGCCTGGGGGATTTGGGAGGGTGCAATGCACATGCACCCCACAAGCAGTTCCCAGAGTGGCCAGCAGCATTATCCACTGTTCCTGCACTGCCTTGTGCTGAGCTGGCACCTGGAACCCCGGCACAGACAACATGCAAACTGGGAGCACAGGAGCTGGGCATGCAGGGCACGTGCACGGGGCAGTTACTGTACCTTTTCCTGTTCATCCACACAGAAAGGGCCACAAGAGGAAAGAAAAAGCCAGAAATCAATATAAAAGAAAGGAGTGAAGTAACAAATAGCACATTTGTGACAATCTCCGAAGACAGACAGCCTTCAGAGTTTGCTGAGTGTTTCCTTTGGTTAACATTTCACCTTCTGATTTATTCAAGAAGTGATGCTGTGAGAGTGCTCTAAATCCAAGCAGTTTAAAAAGTGAGTTCATAAATTTGAACTCTATTTTGTATTGAAGAACAAAAAAAACCCCCAGAAATCTGAGAGGCAATAGAACTGGTAATGTAACAGTAATATAATTGGTAACTGCTTTCAACCAGTTACCACCAGCCAGCAAATCAACTCCCCACAAATTTAAAAACACATCTAAGGGTAACCATCCCAAAACTGAGTTTTAATGCTCTCATACCTCGAGATTCAGGACACTCACCTTAAATTTTACAACCAACAGAGAAAATAAAATACAAATCAATAGTGGTACCACACAAATCAGAACAAAGTTTAGCCAAACAGAAATTTTTTTGTCTGGAACATCAAGTCTTTATGAAAAATAACACACTTCAGGGAGTTGTGTTTAAGAGTTGGTTTTTGAGTAGGGTAAAAACTCTTTCCTTCTAGAAAAATGGATAAAGAAAATCTCTAAAGAGTATTTGTGTGCTCCAGACATCCCTTCCTACCACCACTTCTGCAACACTTGAGAGTATGTCAAAGAATAGGCCATTAATGCAATTCAAATCCACTGAAAAATGTTTTTAAAAGATCAGATGCACAAACTGAGAAATGTACTGTGATAATTTCTCGAGAGCCAACAGAACCTTGCGAAGAATCAGAATGAAAGTTTCCCAAGTCTTCCTTAAAAAGGACAGAGCAGACAAGCCAAAAGTACAGGTGGACTTAGGAGAGACAAACAAAAGAGCTAAAGTCAAATATATGAAAAAAACCCCAAAATTTCCTCGTGACACAACTATTCAGAGAATTCTGTTCAACCAGAAAATGGTCCTACATTTTGGAGGCAAAAAAAGCTCTTGTGTTCCCATTGTGAAGTATAAACCCCACACACAGTTTACAAGCCCTCAGTAGTAAATCTCACCCTAATTAACACATCTGAAGAAACACGTTTTCCTAAAAAAATGAAAGATATTGATCAGCCTACAGACAAACTGCTGCTTTAAATTGCAGAAGAAACCCAAGCCAGAATATAAGAATGACCCTTTGCATGCTTCTATAGAGTCCTAGAGTTCCTTCTGCAATGTAAAATGCTAAAAATTATCTATTATGACACTTGCAGAGAACAGCTTCTTATTTAAAAGCTTCCTGACTTCCTTGTGTCTGCATACAGAGAGCAACAGCAAAATCAGAGCAACAGTGTGTTCCACAGGAGTGATCCTGGAGGGCTCCACACACTACAGCAGTCTTCAAAAAAAAAAAAAAACAACACCCAGAAAGATTTAGTGCTAAAAACTCAGTAAGGTCCTGTGTTACCTGCAGCAGATAAGAAGTTACTTATATTCAGATTGGGCACATCCTGTAAATGTTTCAATGCTGAATTAAGCAAATGGCATCAAACAGTTTAATGTCTAGATACCCAGGGAGGTGAATCTTGCACGGTCACAGCCTTTCCCACCCCTCTCTTGTACCCCATCCCCCATAATTCTGGATCTGAATTATTTCATCCATCTTCGTAAGAAAAGCAGAGAAGATGCTGAGATTTCTGACATGGTTAAGAAGTTGGTGCTGCACAGATAAAAGGCACAAACCCCAGTGTTTATGGGAGCAGAGAAGGAGCTGTTTGTCAGTATCAATGTGCCAATCCCCACCAAAGCAGAAGCAATATATGAATAAGGACAACTAAAATATTACTTGTGCTTTATTTCTTAGCTGAAAGAAAATCATATTTAGCACAAACTTCGAAGCACATTCTTTAGAAGGAATCCAGGTCTTTTTGCTTGTGTTTGCAATTTTTTTAAGGTCATTAAAACACAAAAGACCTCCAAACTTTATTTTTAACTTACCAAATATCAGTGCCAGCCCATGGGAAGTCCCTACTGCTATCAGATTTGATGCTGCCTGGAAGAGTCACACAGAAAGACTGAAAGCAGAAGAAACCATTCACAGATCCACCACTTACCAAGCAAAGTTTGCCAAAAGGGGAAGATTTCAAAGGCTGCATAAGTAAGTTTTTAAACTTATAAGTGCCAAGCAATTCCTACATGAAGCCAGATAAGCACTACACTTGAATGAGCATTACACAGATTTCTCAAGATCAAAGGGCTGCCCTTCCCTCTGCTGTTTGACATTCAGATGCTCTGAGGGAAATTTCCTCTCTCTAAAGTCAGTCTCATTCTTTTGGTGTAGTTTCTGAACATAAATACTCAGGATTTTTTCCTAACTCAGCTGCTACATCCACATGTGAACTCTTCCACAACCCCGTGCAGTGCTGGTCCCCTGAAGAGACAGTCCACGGCAAGCCCAGAGACTCCACAGGGAATTAAACACAGCCCCAAGGTCCTGCTGCACTTGCAAACCTGCACCCAATTCAATAAAACCAAGAGAAATCACATAATGCTGTAGATGTATTAATGTCGTTCCACTTTATTTATTAACAAGTATAACTCATGCTAAAAAAATTCCAGTGCTTTAATGTCTGGATGTGTAAGTGCTGGGTTTTATTCTTTGTGCAGGGTCCCAGCTTCCAGCTTTGCTGTGCAGCCTTTTGCTTAGATGGGACTACTTTTTTTCCCCCTTTTCTTTTTTAAACAAAAAGTGTAATTTCTTATGGACTGATGCTACTACAGTCAAAGTGACCAAGCACATCTTTAGTTTCTTTGTAATACAATCAAAACTTATTTCACAAAGACAGAACAAACACTTCCTGCACTTCACCTCCTTAAAACATTTCTCATTTACCTACAGGCAGCTTCACTTCTGACATATTTTAATTAACATGCTTGACTTCAAATTGCTAAGCAGGAATATCCTTTTTTTAGTGACAAATTTGTATTTTAAGGACATATTTCAGACACGTGAGAGACAAAGGGATGCTGACCCATCACGTGGAGCACTTCAGTTTAAGTTTCTATAAGAAATTGTGAGGAGTCAGAGCAATAACTGGTAGGGAAGAAACACCCAGGGAAACTCAGTGTGCCCAGCAGATGGGGACAGGCTGGGTGCTCTGCTCAGGAGCCCTGGGGAAGAGATAAAAACAGGGGAGTGCTGGGCACTCCCCCCAGGGAAACAGAGCCTTCATGCCCCTCCTCTTTGAAATTCATTATCAGGTGCCTTAAACCACTGCTTTAACAAACTGGCATGAAAACTAAGCATACAGGCCTTGGAAAGTGTGGGAGTACTTACAATTGCAGTGGGCAAGCCAGCATCCACCTTGTCCTGGGGAAACAGGAGAAGCCATGAGTGAGGGAGGCACAACTCTGTGCATGCCTCTAATTATCAGAACTACAACACGGAGCAAAATCAACACCAGCTGCATTTTCATGGTCCCACCAGGGCAGGCAGAGCTGAGGGAACCACTGGATAGAAATATCCAGAGGGATGGAAAAGTGCTCAGACAGGGAGAGGAAGCATTTCCTGTAATTCCATAAGCAAGTTCCCTGTGTCCTTTGCCTGCTGCAGGCACTGAGCAGACCTGTCAATGGAACACCTGTCACCAGGTTTAATGACACCCAGCAACAGAAATCAGTGCTCAGGAGCACCTCCCACATCGCTGCTGCCCTGAGTCAGCTCATCCCTCACCCACTGCTGCCTGGGGACTATTAGTCAGCAGTTTATGGCCCGAGCAGGGTAGTACTACCCAGAACTACCCAGTACTACCCAGAGCAGGGGGAGGGAGGAGATCACACACCCCTACACACCAAAAGAGTTTCAAGCTTTTCGTCGTGGATGTGACCAGAAGGCAACACTTACTGCTGCAGACACTATTTGGGCAGAAATTCCCTTCAGGAGAGAGAGCCGGATCACTGATCCATGAAGTGAGAGAGAATCTGGGAGCTTTTTCTTCCTAAGGAAAAAGAAATCAATCAAAGGCATCAATAAAAGTTTGGTGCTTGGCCTAGGCCCCAGCTAAAGCAGCAGGTCAGTTCTGCATGCACCTGTAACATGCAGCTCCCATTCTTATTCTTGGGGCCCCAGACTGAGATGAAACCTGGGATTATGAGCAAAGCCTGCTGTGCCTGCACAGTCTGGGTCTAACTCATCTCCCAGAGAAAAGTAAGTTGTTCTTCAAACAAATGCTCAGTTTCAAGCAAACCTTAGAATTTAATAATAAAGCCTGAAAGCAAGTCTTGAGCTCTTTAATGAGTCTTTCAGTGAGTCAGAAGTTTCAGTCTGTGAGTATCGAAGCAAAAATAAACAATTGGAAGAGATTCCTTAGCAGAACACAGACCCCCAGGAAAACTGGGTGCATGCTTAAATAACCTTCAATTAAAACACAGCTGACCTGATATGAAAGCTTAAGTGCTTCTGCTTATGGACACAGCACCATTTAAAACTAACTAATGTGCAGGAACAGTTACTTCTGAAGAGCACTGGTGCACTCCAGCAACCATTGCAGGGGAAAATCCCCCCAGGAAAATTGCAATTTTGTTGCGATGCTCCTCACCAGAGAGCCAAATTCCCCAAACTAAGCAGAAACACGGGTTTCTTATCTCTTCAGAGGTGCACAAATAAGGAGTTCACACACAGGCTGAAGAAATATGTTGTTAATATTATGGCTAAAGACCCATAACAATGGCAACCAGCCTCATTCAAAATGACAGTAGCACTTCCATGTTCTTCTGCCTACTCTGTACTGAAAACGTTTAAGCCACGCCAGGTAAGATTTCTCTCAGTATAAGGCATCATCTTGGAAAAAAAGAAGAGACAGTGAGTCCATACACCACCATAGGGCAACAGAAACCACCAGACTCAGAGTGTTTATATCCTGTGCAACTGCTTGTGCAACAACCACAGCTTCCCACGGCACACGAGGCAGCCATGGGAGTGGCTCAGGCCCTCCCTGCAGTAATTAACAAGATAGGTCAACAGTCCTGGAGCTAATTACCACATTTTGGATGTCAACATCAGCAGTCCACTCAAAGGAGCGACAGCGCCTGCCTTTCACAAATAACCACCAGCCGCTGGCAGACTCTGGAGATCCAACACACCTTTGAAAGATTTTCATTAAAGTCATCACGGTTCAGCACTACAAAGACTTCATTAAAACTCAGAGAAAATAAAATATTCTGTCTCCCACAAAATTTGAGCATTTATTGCTCAACCAGGCCAGCCCTCAGTGCAGCAACAAATCCCACCTTTGCCTGCATGGGCCTGGAGGAGTGACAGCGATCTGCCAAACAGAGGAGGATTTGGTCTGAAGGGCTGTACGTGTAGGGGTGGGGCTGCAGTACCTCTTGAGGTGCGAGCGGTCCCCACTGTCAGAGCTGGCCACGGACGACGTGTCGTAGGAGTGCGCGTCCGCGTTATCGACGCTCAGGAGAAAGGGATCCTCCAGAACGAAAGACTCCTCTTCATCATCAGTCTAAGGGGACACAATCACCACAGCTTGCTAAGTGTTCCAAACACACACCACCACCACTGAAACACCAGCAAGTGAAATAGCACAAATTCAACTAAAAAAAAAAAAAAATCAAGGAAAGGACGAGACAGTCTCATATCTAAACCCCAGAATTATTTACTACTTCACTGGACTAATTCTGTGGAAGAACCAATTTCCAGAGTTCACAACAATCACAGGAGTGGGCTGGAGAGAAAATTGTTTGACTAAATCTTCTTTCCCCAGATATTATCTACTCCATCAAAACTTAAACTGACCTTTAACTGAGCTGTGTTCAAGTCTCCCAATAGCCAAGAGAAGGCCTAGAATTATCATCATCTACTCCAGCCCTTCACCAAGTGGCACTAAGAGCCCAGCAGTCCCTCCAGCTGCTTCGAGAGTTGATTTTGCTCTGCTCTGTGCTATTCTGCTGGCAGTATCTTTCTCCTTTCAGCCTTAGCCTGGAATTTTTTATTACAGTATTTATCAAATAGCCATTTTCCCTGATGTCTTCTTAATTTGGTGCATGTTGTCTCCTCACAGAGCCAGAGAGAGCAAACACAACACCCTAGCTGATGCCAAAGGAGCAGAAAAGCAGAGCAGGTGCCCCTCATTTCTTACAGCTCTGTGCCCTTTGAACATCCCCTCTTCCACGGCACCTGTGCCTTTTTGGCTCAGACAGGTTGCTCTCCGCTAAAATCCTTCTCAGAAGATGCTTTACCAGTCATTTCCATCCCGTGTGTAACTGCGATCAACAGCACTGGAGTAAGACTTTGTGTTTGTTTGGACTGCCCTACACTTTTCTCATGATGACCTCTCAGGGTTTAAGACTTGCATTCTACTCCTCTGACACGGCTGTCACTGCATCTCCTTTGGTATCACCCAAATTTACTCAGTTCCCTCCAGCTCCATCACCCAAGGCTCCAGCAGAAACAGGACACACCTCTGTACAATACCCCTACTACTCCTCTCAGTCTGGATCTGTTCAGGACACCTTACACCTGTATTTTTAACGCAGCTTTTTCAAAGAACTATGAGCCCTCCCAGGCTCCTTCTCCCTCTAGGAGAAAAGGAAATCCAGCCAGCAATTTCCTCATTTTGTTAAAAAGCTTGTTTTCTTTGAGTTAATCTTTACTTCAAAGCTCTTCTTTTCCTTTTGAGGGATCATACTGTCCCACACCTACTGTAAAAAATACATGGAGTTAGATACAAGTGAGACATACAGCTCTCCCCTACAAGGTACTACAAGTCACATCAGATCCTGAGACAGTTCATTGCTCCTGCCAGGGGACTAAATATCTAGTTCTCACCTTCTCTCACAACTTAAAAACTACCCAGAAACTCTGCAATTACTCTTAGCTAAAAACACCTGTTTGATACCTTTAACAGACTGCGTAGGCTTCAGGTGACTGGCCACATCCACAGGTGAACGTACTTAGACTTATTGGAAACCTTTCATGTGTTGCAGCTGTGGATACTTTAACTGAAAAAAACCCCCAAAATTCTACGTCCCACACTATAAAGCAATTACTCAACTGAGCATGCGCTTCACCAGCTATCAGTACCAGGACATCGGGAAGCTACACGGTTTTATTTCCCTGGAAAACCACAAGAAGAAAGGAGCCAAAGGAGCCTGTGCTGCCTCCCCTTCCCTGCCCGACAGTCACTCACCTCATTCAGGATGCTCTCCAGTGTGGGGGGGGTATCAACCTGAGGGATGTCGAATTCTTTATCATCGATCTGTACAGCAGAAACCACAGATTGAGTTTAGGTTGCCTACTCCACCTTCCAGACTTTATTTTAAGTAAACAATAATTAGAAGGAGCCACACAAGAGACACTCCTGCCAACACTCCCCTGCCCGGAGAGGCCGGTGAGAGCTGAGGGCTCAGTTTCACCTGGCTGAATGAGGGTATTTCCTCCGTGAAGGCCGTGTGAGACTTTTCATGTTCTGACAATAAAGACGCTACTGCACTATCAGGCGCTTTGCAGTAAAAGAGAAGTTAAACGACCGACGATGCACTTGCTACGCTAGGCACCCACCACGTACAGCTGGGGGGGTTGTAGTTTGTTTAGACGAGGCGAAGACCGTGAAATTGGTGTGACGGGGCAGAGCCCTGGGCAGAGCCCTGAACCGGCACAGAGCAGGCTGGCACCACCCGCCTGCCGACCCCCGCTCGGGGCTGTGCGAGGGACCCCCGACCCTCCCTCACACCCATCTGAGGGACCACCCCGCCGACCCTCTCTCTCTCCCGGCTGTGTGAGGGGCCCGGACCGGACGCTCCCTTCTCCCTGAGCGGCCTCCGGGCCCTGCGGGAGCGCGCGGGCCGGCGCAGCCCCCGCGGCCCGGCCGTGCCGCCTGGGCGGCGGTTCGCGCCTCACCAGCTCGCTGTGGGAGTCCAGCTCACGGTCGAGCTCGGCCACGCTGAGCCGGTGCACGGGCGGCTCTGGGGGCAGCTCGGGCTCCGCTCCCTCCGGGACTGCAGCCATGGCCGGGCCGGCACCGCCGGGACTCGAACCCGCGTCCGCAGCCTCCGCCCCGCGCAGCCGCAGCGCCGAGGGGCCGCCCCCGGGCCCGCCTTAAAGGGGCCGCGCGGCTGCGGGACGGGGGACACTGAGGGACACAGCGACACCGAGCCAGCGGCGCTGCCCGCTAATCCTTTTATTTATCGGCAAACCCCGCGTCTCCTCCACGCTGCCGGCCGTCATCCCGGGCCCGGGGGCGCGTCAGTCTCCGGGAGAAGGAAAGGGACAAAGTGAGTGATGAGCACAGGGAGGAGGCACCCCCCGGCACCCCCCGGCCTCGGCTACAGCCGGCGGGTTCTGCGGCGACTCCCGGGCTTCGGCGTGCACAGCGCCGGGCTGCAGACGTGCCCCAGCAAAGCCTAATAAAAATGTCCCTTTTGGGACCAGAGACAAAGCCTTCGGGAATAGGTGGCCAATTTAAACAAGGCAGGAGCTGGTGTACCCATATTTGGTGCCCAAGGGTTTGTGTTTTCTTTTAAAAACCACCTTGGCGGGGAGCGGGGAGGGTTAGCAACTGTTGGAGCTATTGCAGTGTTTGTGTTCAAGACAGAACAAAGCCAAAGAGCCCTCACCAGGCCAGAAGGTGAGGGGGGGTCGAATGTAAAATAAAACACACACTGGAAGGATAAATACTGAGTTTCAGGATATCAGACACCCAAGCTACCCTGGTGTCTTACGCGGGATCCAAGGGGACACTCCCACGTGCTGAGCTGCCAGTGCAGGGATCCTCCTCCCTCTGGTGTCCCACAGAGCTGAACCAGGCTGAAGGTTCCAGCTTTAGCAGAGGCACTTACCAAAGGCACAGAGAGCATCCCACACTGTCCCTGCCTTACCTGCTTGGCCTTCCCGCTGTGCTCCCTGCGGAGCAGCTGTGCTTCCCTCCTCCTCGGAGAGGGCTCTGTCTTCCATCTGCAAGAGCGTGTCCATGAGCAAGGAAGGTCCTGAGTGTCCTCCTGCCCTGCAGGTGAGCCCCTGCCAGGCAGAGCCCCCCTTCCCACCTCCACCTGAGCAGGAATCAGCCCTCTGCTGCCCTCGGGGCCAGGCTCGGCTCAGCAGGGAGAGCAGAGGCTCTGCCTGTCCAGGGTCACCTGCTGAGCTCTCAGTCAGCTGACCAGGAGCTGGGGGAAAGCCTTCCCAGGGACAGGACAGCCAGCGTCACCAGAGGGAGCCTGCAGTCTTTGAGATGCCTTCAGTGTAGCAGGTCACACACAGGTAAGGCAGTTTGGTTCCTCAGAAATGTCAGTAGTTTGGAGCACACACAAAAAGCCAGCTCCTGTGGCAGTGGCTCAGCACATTGGCTGGGCTGGGGAGGGGTTTTTTGCAAGGAAGGAACTCTGCTTTAGAGCTGTGCTGGCCCTGGGGAGCTGAACCTCTCCTCTGATGTGCACATCTACAGCTATTTAAGGTTTTAAATACCTGACTGATTACCAGCACTTGCTCTCCTCCATGTTCTAAAACCTTTCTTTGCCCTGCCAGCTGTTCCAGGATGGTTTTCTGCAGCAGTGGTGCATTCACTCCTTTTACAACAGCCACTAATTCTCCTTCCTGCAAGGTGTGGAAAGCAAATCAGTCAGTCAGTGCTCAGGTTGTGCTCTTTGGGCTCTGGAAATCCCCACAGCAGCACATCACCCACAGCATTATGTACCAGGCCCTCGTCCCTGACAGAGCTGCTCTGCTCCACAAGAGGGAAGCTTTGGAACAACCTTCTCTGTGGTTCCTCATCAGCCTTATGATGAAGCAAAGCAGCTTGTGAAAGGAGTGAAGTTCTGCACAGGCAGGAGGCTGAACCTGATGACCCCACAGGGCAACACACTGACTATATTTTAACCCCCACAGCACTTGATCACCAGCAGATACAAAGCAAATAAAATTTGCTCCTCACACATTAAAGAAATAATATCCCTCCAAAAGGCCAGTTGTCCCCACCAGCAGGTCATGTTTGTTGCTGTGCAGCTACTGGGAAAACATTTTCACTCACAGCATAAAACAGAAAGACAGGCTGGCATTGTCCTCTGTATCCTTCCAGAGCATCAATGGAGTCAACTTCAGCCTGAAAGAAGGGGGAAGAAGAACAGGTGTTTCTAGGAAAGCATTTCTGCTCCACAGGGAAGCAGGTGCCTGGACTCAGCCCCCTCAGCTGGCTGGTCCTCACCCCACACACAGGGAAACACCTCCAGGGTGGGTTTTGGGGACAGAGTGACACTGGTCAGAGCCAGGGCCACAACCAAGTGCCAGCTCAGCAGCAGTGACATGAGAAGCAGACAGTTATCACCTGCAGGAGCTGGAACAGCAGCTCTGCTGGGACAGGGATGCCTATTCCCAGTAGCTTGCCTGGGTGAATCCCACAGAAAAAGGCTGGAAAATGAAATGGGGGCCTCTTGTCCATGAGGAGAGAAGTGGCGGGAGGAGCTGTGGTGGCAGCAGAGGCAGCAGCAGGAGTGCTGAGCTGTGAGAAACCTCCCTGCCCTTAGCTCTCTCCACAATCCAGAGCTGCCTTTGGCCAGGAAAGGCACTTACACATGGAATCCCAGCAGGACTGAGGTAGGGAGGGACCTCTGAAGGGCTGTGGTCCCAGACTGCCCAAAGCAGGGCTGGTCTCAGTGGTACAGGAGGGTGTTCAAGGCTGTGTTAGTTTTGAGCCTTCAGGCCCCTGCTGATTGCAGAGGACTGGGTACTGCAGGCAATGTCAAATGAGATCTTACCACAGCAAAATGCAGGAGATTACTGCCAACTTCATTCCTGATTTTTTGGAACAGATCCACTACTGTTTTGCACGGGCCACACCAGACTTGAAACGCATCAACAACTGTCAGCAGGAAAATGAGTGAGAATGAGGTGAAAATGGATCAGTTTAGACACAGACCAATAGACCAAACACTAGAACTGAATGGATTCAACTCTGAGGTGGAAATTGTCCTACCCTTGGCAGGTTTGAGATGCTGGGTCAGAGGATGAAATCACATTGTAAAATATCAAGCTAATAATTATGTGGAGGAGCCTTTAAAAGCAACATGGACATGGCTTTGCCCTTTGAGAGGGACCAGATTTTCTAGGGACAACTGCTGCAGAGGGAGAGCACATGAGCCTTACAGCACCCTTGGGAACCAGGGCTGTTCCTTTGCTGGAGACAGTCCTGCTCCAAGCAGTGGCTGGACTGGACACTCCGGAAGCTTCTGGACCAGCACTGCTTGGATTGCATGACAGCTGTCCCACAAGAGGACTACAACCTCCAACTTGTCTCACCTCTGTTAGAGTATTTCTTCCTTCCATTCTTGGCAAGAGGAACAGAGGGACTGACTAAACATCCTTAACACTCATAATTCATAACAGTCCTGGGGTCCTCTAAACACAGAACAAGAGCAACCCAGTGAGCTGACCAAACCCTTACCAATGAGTCCTTTGAGACACAGCATTTCTTCCCAAAGCTCCTGGCTAGTGATATTCATCTGTGTGAAAATGTAAAAACACAGTAAAAGCAACAGTAAGTCCAAAGGTACCACCCAGTTGCTGCAAACATCTGGACAAACTGCTCAAGAGGGACACATCTGCCTGAAGAGGAGTTACCTGAGCACTCAGGGAACTCTTCTGACTGATCCTCTGACCAACTGGGCACGATGTCTCACAAGGTCCAGGGAAAGGCAGATGAAAAGGCAGCAGCACCCAGCCAGGAGAAAGCTCTCCCTCATTTAGGGGCACTACTGGAAGAGTGGCTGCCAGGGGGCCCCAGACTCGGTTTGCAGAAAGGCCAAGAGTTGACTCCCCAAACTGGGAGCCCAGACCCACAGCCAGGGCCTGTGTGACTGCCCAGAGCTGCAGCTGAACCCACCAGACCCTGTCACCTACAGGGCAAAGGCTGTGAAACACCCATTACAATCTCAGCTTTTTCCTGGTACTCTCCTTCTTTTCTGGCAACCCAATTCCTGGTGGGGCCATGCAGCAAGATCTGAGAGCAGGACCCAGCTGAGCAGGGCCCTCCCACAGGAGCCCAGAGCAGCAGGGTGGGCTGGTCTGTCCTACAGCACTGGGTACTGCTCCACAGCCTCCCTTTCCCACACCCAGCTCAGCCCAGTCATCACAGGGACTCACAAGGCAGGTGATCCTCCAGCAGCAGCTTCTCCCCTGCCCTGCACACAAGCTGTGCTACTTTCAGAGGTTTCAGCCTTGGTCAAATAAAGTAGTAAAAACACAGCTCCTGGGATGTGTGGGCACTGAGGGGGGCTGAGCCCTCACTTGAATTCCCAGCTGTATCTGAAGACTTCCAAAACACAATGAACAGGGATCTGTGGAGTTCTTCACCTAATGCCCTGCTCAGTGTTAGATCAGCTTGCTCAGGGGTTTACCCTGTCAAGGATGCCCCAGACAATTCCATACACTGTGCCACGTGCTGTATTATCCCACACTTCCAATACTGTGATTAGAAAGGGAAAAATCTTCAGCATCTTCCCCATCTTACAGGACTTGCCCCTCAGTAGGTGCTTAGAAAACACAGCAAGTTAATAAAAAAAAGGGCTTCTTGAGAAATGAAGATCTGGTTTTGTTCATCCAGAACAATGAGGATTCCCAATTTCTTCCTCAGCCAGTCTCATCAATCCCAACTACATTTAGACTACAATGGAAGACAGGAAGTTGCTACAAGGCAATTATTTCACCATAATTAACACCAACGGGGATTGAAGAGCTGCTAAAATCCCATAGTAAAGAATTCCAAGAGTGGAGACTCCAGTGGCCTCTCACAGGTTTTCAGAGATATCACCAGGGCAGTTTCTCCAGGACCTTTCTCACTCAGGGAAAAGGAGCTTTTCAAACACCTCTGTCTGTTTGCCTGTTCAGCCTGTTCATGACCCCAAGCCTAGTTTTTCAGATAACACTTGCGGAATTCAGATATTTAATTGTTCTGGAGCGGGACCATGCTCAGGGTGTTTCACAGAATGTCAGTGAGTCCAAATGGTTGATGACAATAATTTCTGATAACGAGTTCAGCCATGGACTCCAGTACTGCTGGCACCCTCCAAGGTGCTTTGCTAATTTGGGAGTCCTGAGGCTGCTTGGGCTTGGCTCTTCTCTAACATAACCAGAGCTTTTCCAGGACATCCCGTGGTGTCCAACGTTCAGCTTTCATCTGCAGATGTGAACAACCAGAGCTGTGCAGCCCCAGCCCCAGCTCTGCCTTGGCTGCTCAAGGGGCACAGGGTGGTTGGTGTTCCTCATTACTCAGGAACTGAGCTGGACAAGCAGCAACAGTCACATTCTTACCGTAACAGAGAGCTCCTCTTCCTTTAGTACACATGTTCATATTTTCCAATCCCAACAGTGAACAAACAAGGTCAGAGAGCCCATAACCTCTTCCATTATTTCTCTCTTGTGAAGACTGAACGAACTTTAAATTTTGAAGCAGACCCTCAGAACCCACTTTGGGTTTTCAACATTTTCTCATAGTGAACCACTCCCAGAACCCCTCTTTCCCCATGCAGTAGTTATAAAGCATCATTAGGTCACTTGTGCAGTGTAAACAAGGAAAAATTCCTCTGCACATCACTTTGAAAGAGGTTTTTCACCCTCAGAATTTTCTTGCCTCCTAACTTTTACAGGGAGCCTTCTGAATATGAGACCTGGTCAGAGATGTTCAGTGACGTTTGTTGCTCGGGAGAACCTCCCCCTTCCCCAGTTCCCTACTTCTCAATGTCCTCTGAGCAATTATCCCATGAAACATAGATGCATTTTGATCCCTGGCAGCAGCAAAATCTGTGCCAGCCCATAACAGCTTGGAACACAACCTGCAGCCCCACAACCACCTCCCTGTGCCCCACAGCTCTGACAAGGGGCAGATCTGACCTGCCAGGCCTCCCCATGGTTCCCACCTGCCTTTAGGAACATTTTCCACCCCAAGGACCTCACAGTAGAGCTTTGCCAGCAGAATCTGAGATACCTCCAGACTGAATTTCATCCTTTGCACTTAACTATGAGTTTACAAGGTCTTTCAAAAGCCTGGTTGCTACTGACCTGCAGCAATACCTCCTTTTTCTTTGCAGCCATCCCTCTGCAGGAACGGGGTCCTGTGAGCAGCTGTCCAGGTACAAAGCACTGCCCACGACCTCTAATCACGTGGATCCAACTGCTGGGCAACCTGCACCACAGAGAGAGCTTTTCACCTGGCTCTGCTCCTCCACCCAGGACAAAGCACCCACAGCAGCACCCTGGCCCTGCTGCAGGGAGAGGGGGTGGCTCAGCAGCACCCAAAATCTGGGCACAACTTCGCTTTTACCTTCACAGAGTCGAGGTGCTGCAGGGCCTGAACTGGCGCTCACTCCCAGACACAGCAGCCTGTCCCCCTCGCCTGGAGGGTGGGAGAAGGGGATGGGCCCAGCAGGGCCTGGCAGGACCTGTGTCCAGCTGGCAGGGCCCCAAGGCTGCCATGGCAGCACCTCAGCCCAGCCCGCCCCGTTCCCTCCTCCGCGCCTGCTCCAGCCGGGAAGGTCAGCTCCGTCTCCCCTGGAACAAACCCTCCAGCAGCAGCTGCACTTGGGGCCTTTCTGCCTCCTCTGTGCCCGTCACACCTGCCCAGCTACCCCCTCCACCACTCACCCTGCCACTTATCCCATGTCCCTTCTAAACTGGGGGCTCAAAGCAAAGTGAGGGATGCAGACCCAACCAAGGGGAAACCTGCTGTCCCAGCCCCAAGCACAGCTCAGTGAGGGGATAACCTGCTGTCCCAGCCCCAAGCACAGCTCAGGCTGGTTGTTTTTTCCCTTCTCTGCAGAGAGAGCAGGGCCAGTGCCCAGCCCCTCCCAGGTTTTGGCTCACCCCATCTGTGCCCATGGGGTCCTGGGCTCCAGGGCAGACCTTGCTGTGCTGCATCTTGTCCCGCAGTACTGGGGGTTCAGTTTTTGGTACATCAGTGCCCCCAGCATGTCTCTTTTTGCTGAAATCAGCCTGCAGAAGAGCCCTGCTGATTTCAAGCACCACTGTAATCCTGCACATTGACACCTCTCACATTTCAGGAGTACCAAAGACAACCCATTTCTACTCAAGAATCTAATTTCACCCCCCTCAGTTATTCCTCTGTCTGTCATGTCACTGCTTCAGCAGTTCTGGGGAGACACAGCTTCTGCTGCCATGGGTAAAGTCTGGAAAAATACATTTTAACAAATGTAAAATGTTTGCCTTAGGAAGGTCCTGGCACAGGTTGCTCTAAGCAGGTCATTTGGCTTCTGTCACTGCCACAGTGCACATCTGTGACTGGAGTAGCCAACCTGTGTCTCACTGGATTCTCTGTAGGGGACAGATAGTCCACACGTGGGATGAAGGTGATGGGGAGCAGCCAAGGGTCCCACTTGTCTGACAGCTCCTGTCCCAAATTCACTTTGCTGGCAGGTGTAACTTCTGCCATAGGGACTCCCAGCACTAGACCCAGACATAAAGAGAGGACATACTTATCAAAATTCATCAGGATGGGTTTTCAGCAGAGAAATGGCACAAGAAGAGCAGAAATCCTGGTGATTCACATGCTGTCCAGACAAACTTTGCTTTGGTTCTGCAAAGAACCCTGGCATTCACAGGCTGCTGCCACCTCTTTAAGTTGGGAAAGCTCTGGGTGACCAGCAAAGTCTGTTACCACTGTGACCCTCAGGCTGTAGAGGGGCTGGCACAGAGAGTTCGGATTTCTCCAGGAAGCTGAGAAAAATCTCCATGTTCTGGTAAAGTTCTCTTTATTTACAGTATTCTTCTTTTTGTACATACCTATAGCAACATCAAAAATTATTCACAAAGCTTAACTGAATGTAAAAATGTTCTCATCCAACACTTTGTCCTCTCAACACCCATGGAAAATTTCAACTGTTCTCATGCAGCAACGAGATTGTCTGAGCATTGGTTTTTAGTTTTTCTGGCAGAATTGTAGGAAACCACCTCAAAACTTGTACAGAGATACTTTTACTCACCTTTTTTCTGAACACCTTAGGCACCGAAGTTCTATAGAATCGAACTCAGATTTGCTTTTAGGAATGGGAGTTAGGGAAGGAAGAGAAGAGGTACAGAAGAATTTGAGCTCCTAAACAAACACAGAAGTGCAACTGCAGCACGTTGAACACTTTTGCATTTACAACACCTGCCTCAGAACTTCCTTCTCAGTTCAAGCAAAAATATATTTGATTCAATTTTATAAACAAGACTTTGCTTCTGAGGTACTGAGATTTAACAAGCTCTCACATACTTTTACTTTCCCTTTTGTTCAACCCCCAAAGTCCATCATGAAACATTGGCAGAAGGACGTTAAAAAACTGCCAGTCACTTACTGCAATGCCTGGGGAAAAAGTGTCAGGTGCTCACTTTTATTTGTCTTTGAGAGTGGAAGAAGTTACATGAAATGTAGATATCGTCCTTTGCAACCAAGTGATAACAGTGATTGATACACAGCACATTCAAATGCCAGGCCCAACTGCGGTCACATTTTCTGACACAAGTAGTTACCTTGGAAAAAAAGTAAGGCTGTCACAATCTGACCTTCTGATCAGAAACAGAAGATTTAGATACTTATCAAAATTGGTTAGCAAAGTTTCAGACCTCTCTTCTTGCTGCAGCCCCCCTAAAGTTCAGCGTAGGAGAATAAAGATTTGGTTATGACATCAGCTGCCATCCCTAGTGCCTGTTAGTGCTGTGCACATACAGTGTCTGGAGAGTCTGGCTTAACCATGGGCTAAGCTGAACCCCAAGGGTTCAGCTGCCCTGCTGCTCCAGGCACACCTGCTGGGAAAGCCCTGGGCTCTCCCATGCCAGCCTAACCTCCCCCAGTCTCGATCTGCACTCGTGTTTGCTTCCCCACAGCTCAGGCACAGTCCTAGGCACAGTCAAGGCCTCCAGGTTCAGTCCAACCCCATCCTCGTTATCCAGGAACCTAAATCCATGCAAGTGTATCTGCCTATGTACAGGGACCTGCAGCAACACTGCCGAGCCAGAAAACAAAACCAAACCAAAGCCCTGGGTTTTCCATCCCTCCCCTAAACCTCATGCTCCCAGCAGATCCTTTGTGGAGATGATTTGGAAGTCACTTAACTCTTTGTGGAGGCAAAGGAAGCAGAACAAAAGCAATCCCTTAACCACTGCTTGGCAGCTCCTTCTGCACTCTGCTGAGTTAATTCTGCACCACACAGTTTGCTCTGCTGGTACCAGTGATCAGCAAATCCTTCTCCCCTGAACAAGCCAATCCTTCAGCAATTAGCTGAGCAAGTTCCTGGCTAGGAAAGCAAAGCTTATTCCTGCTGATCCTGCAGCCACCTGCTCCTTCCCAGAAAAGCCAACAGTAATCCTAACCCTGAAGTATGAGCTTGTCTTCTAGACATGTAAAGAAACCGAAACCCAATCCAGCTGACCCATTGCATGGATTTGAGCATGTCATCAGTACCAGGGACCTTGTGTTGTAGTAAAGAACTCTTTGATCTTGTCAGTACAGAACGTGCTGCTTGGAATTTGGGGTCTACTGTCTCCCTCTATTTCTCTCTTGAAAAAGGAAGTATAATGTAAGTTAAGCTGAAGTTCAGAAATGCATATATTTTACTTAAAAACATTCATCTGTTCAAAATTCAAAATAAACTTTATGGGATACAACAGTTTGGTTTTTTTCTTTTTTAAATAACATTTCATTCAAACTGTATATAATTCATTGAAGTATTCGTACAGCAAACAATGGTTAACCCTTGAAAACCTGTAGAAAAAGATTTTCACACAAAAAAAAAAGGAAAACCAAAAGTGAGGTCTCACACTCACCCACACTCACCCAAGCACACGCACACCCAAGCACACACCCACACACACAGGCTGCAGCAAAAGCAGAAAATTGGAGGCCCAAAAGGAAAACAATGACTGATTGTTCTATCCAAAGTCCAGGTAGCTCAGGAAAAAAACCCAAAAAACCAAAACAACCCCCCGAGAGTCCTCTGAGTAAAGAAACTACCTCAAGAAAGTTCTCAAGTGCACCGGAGACCTGATCATTTGAACTGTTTCTGCAAAGCAGCTCCCTGCACCTGAGAAAAATGCAGCCCAAGGTGACTTGTGCAAATATAAGGAGTCAGGAGAATCTCCTGCTGTTCCTTAAGGAGACATGAGGGGTGTCCATGGATTCAGTTAGTCTTTGATCATGCAAGGTACTGCTGGAGTGCTGTCTTCGCCCTGCAAGGAAGGAACAGCCTGTTAATCACCAGGGTTTGGCTTCGTGGACAGGCTGTGCCAGGAGGGGAGGGAGGGGACAGGTCTGGAGGAATGTGGCAGTGAGGCACGACTGCTCGTGTGGGCTGTGACTGCTGAAGAACCCACCTGGCACCTAAAAATCAGGTGATCTCCCCAAATCCAAAGTGAGGCTCTTCCCAGCATGGAGGGGCCCGAGGGTGTGCATTATCCACACCTTACAGAACCCCTGCGGAGCAGCACTCAGTGAAGAGCACTGACTTTGTCACACCCTGCAGCAGGAGAAGGTCTTTGAGCTGAGAAATCCCAGAGCTGTCATAACTCAGCACACACCAGAAGCACAGCAGCCCTGTCAGGAATCCCATCAGGAATTTTGGCCCCACCAAAACCATCCAGTGAGGTGGGAGGGAGAAGAGAAGCAGCAGCCAGTCTAATACTAGAATTGATGTGATCTAACATTGTGCAACATTTTTGTTAAGAAAAACACACCTCCCAGCAGTCTGGTCTTACAGCTTTACAGCTGCATCACCTCAGCTGACTCAGGGCTTCCTCCCCCTTGAAGTGAGAGGTTTTGCTCTTCCTTTGTCCCCTACAGCCCCCAACCTGCTACTGGGACCTTGACAGACCCTTCCAACTTCTCCAGCTCAGAGGAGGATTATTTATTTTTCCTTCCAAGTTTCCTGCTGTGATCACAACTCATATTAGCTCATGGAGGGGGCTGGTGTGGCAGAGGTGGGTATCAATATATTCCTGATTATCACCTTCAGTGCTGATACTCTGCCACAGAATTCAAACAGAGAAGCTCAAACTTCACTGCAAAAATGTCTAAGAACACTGCACATCTTTCATAAAACCAAGAACCCCAAATTTAATGCAATTTAAAACAATGCACAGTTTTGAGTTGTGTTGTCTGTGTGTGACTTCTTCCAAAAATCATATCGTCTCCTTTAGTTTGTGGAAGAAATAGGAATCGTTACTAACTGTAGGTGGGATAACTGCAAAGAGTAAACATAAACCCACAGAAATTATCCTGAACTGTTTCTGTTCCTTCTTGGGAAGCAGCTGGATGATCTGTGTAGGTATTAAACAGAAGCAACAGAACATGTACATGCAAGGCTATCGTTGAGCTTAGTTAGTTTCAAAGAATTTAGATGAGATTAATAGCTGTGATGATCCTGTATTATCCTTTTGATTCATAGAGTTA